AACGTGAGACTAACACCCAGGAATGGCTGAGATTAGTACCAGGAATTTTGCTCCATGACTTGAAGGCCAGCCACACATGCTAGGTGAAAAGGAAGCTCAGATAGAGAAGAGAGCACCAAATAAAGGGTGTTGTGAGGACCCTCCCAGGGTGGGAAAAGCAGGCTAAAAGTAGTCTATAGATCAAACACGATTGCCACGCAATGCCTCTCTTGCAAAACACAGTACCCAAAAGAAGAGAGAGAGAACAAGGGGGAATGCCCTGCCACAGAGGCAGTGTGGGACGGGGGGGATGGGGGGTGGGAGGGATGCTGGGACCCGTGGTGGTGGAGGATGGGCACTGGTGGAGGGATGGGTACTTGATCATTGTATAACTGAAACCCAAGCACAAAAATTCATAAGTCTATAACTGTACCTCATGGTGTTTAACTAATTAAAAAATTTTTTTAAAAATTAAAAAAATTAAAATTTTTGGGTGGGCTGGAGCAATAGCACAGCGAGTAGGGCGTTTGCCTTGCACACGGCCGACCCAGGTTCGATTCCCAGCATCCCATATGGTCCCCCGAGTACCGCCAGGAGTGAATACTGAGTGTATGAGCCAGGAGTAACTCCTGTGCATTGCTGGGTGTGACCCAAAAAAGCCAAAAAAAAATGCTTGGGTGCTGGAAAGATAGCACAGAGGTAAATGCCTTGCATGAAGTCAACCCCAATTTGATCTCTGGCACCCACATGTGGTACCCTAAGCACTACCAGAGGTCACTCCTAGTACAGAGATAGGAATAGCCCAGGAGCACTTCTGGTGTGGCCCCCAAACAAACAACATTTTTGGGGGGAGGGTGATGCTGAGGGGTTACTCCTGGCTTTGCATTCAGGTATCACACCTGGCAGTGCTCAGGGGACCATATGGGATGTCAGGGATTAAACCCTGGGTTGGCTGCATGCAAAGTCAGCTCCTTACCCACTGAACCATCCTTCCAGCCCACACACAACTGTTTTGAAGGGGCTCCCCAGAGATGCTGAGGGGGGAATCACACGGTGCTGGGGCTGGAACTCGGTGCTGACGTGCACCCCCTCCCGATTTCTCTAGTTCTTTTAAGCTGTGTCTCCACCCCTCATGAGGAAACTTTATGACAGCACGAGTCTTTCCGACTTCCGGCCACATCTTCAAACTCTCTTCCCCGAGGGCACAAAATCTTTATTGATTTAATCTCAAAACAGACACATGGACATAGAACAGAAAAGATTAATAAACCACACACTCCGCTGTCTCTCACCCAAGAGAGGAGACCAGTGGTCAGACCACAAAGCCAAAGGAATCCAGCCCCAGAAATCAACAAGTCCTCATAAAGAATCAAAATCAAATTCCCACCACACTTCCAGTAGAACAAGGGACAGAGCATAGACCAGAATCAGGGTCCACACGGGGTCCTTGGGACACTGGGGTTCGAGGAAGTCCCAGACCCAAATGTGATAAATTCCTGTCTGATGGCCAGGTCCCAGTCCTGCCACGTGGGGGTCTCAAAGCCAGAGCAGAGAGAACCAGACAATTTACACGGCTACAGCGCAGGAAGCAACTTCACTAATTAGGAACATCTGCAAAGAAAGGGTGGGTCAAGGGTTTCTCAGACAGGTAAGAGAGTGCAGAGAGCAAGAGTGGTTGCGTGTCACAGAGAGGTTCTTTCAGCTGCAATCCCCCGGAACGTGGAGTCTCACTGTTGTCATCTGTCAGGGTGCGTCTGTGCATCTGGTGGGTGTGTCCATGGGTATTGAGGATCTGATATCCAGCGAATCCCCTAGTGCCTCTGTGTGTGACCCTGTGGCAGTAAGGCAGGGCCTGTGTCTCTGTATGTGCGTTGTGTGGCAGGGCTGTGCCTGTCTTAGGTTTTCTTTGTGATATATGTGGGTGCATGTTGCAGTGAGTGTCCCTGTCCCTTGGTGTCCTTGGGTTCAGGGATACAAAGGATATTAGAGAGAGAATCTTTATTCTGTCTCTGTGTGAGGATTTGTGTGTGTGTGTGTGTGTGTGTGTGTGTGTGTGTATGGTGGGTAGATGATGAGCCTGTGTGTGTGTATTTGGTGTGGGTGGGTGTGACATGGTGAACCTGTGTGTGTCTATGGATTTGGGGTGTGTGTGCAGTGCTGGTGTGTGTGTGTGTGTGTGTGTGTGTGTGTGTGTGTGTGTTCAGCGCTAGGCTCTGGGATTTCTGTGGTTGCCCTGGCATATATGTATGTATGTGTATCTGGGCATGTTTGTCTCTGTGCTTCTATGTATAGTGGGTCCAGGGTGTGTGTGTGTGTGTGTGTGTGTGTGTGTGTGTGTGTGTGTGCTGTGTGTTGTGTTGCTGTGGGCCTGCTTGCGTGTCTGTGCCCCGTCCCTCTGTGCGGTGTGTGCTGTGCCCCTGTTTGCAGTCAGCCGGGCTCCGGCCTCCTCCGGTCCCACATTCCTCCCGCTCCTTTCTGCTCTGTGCTACAAAAAATATTTGCGTTTTCCACGACTCATAATTTTTCCTCCTCAATAGCTACCAGATGTGGGTCCTGTGGTCCCCGTCCCCATGGCAACAGAGGTTCCAGCAGCCGCGGTTCCCTTCGTGGCGCCTACCCTGGGAGCTGGCACTGCTGCCGGCCCAGGGGGCGGGGAGGGAGGGGGTGGCGGTGGGGGTTGGGGGAGGCAGGGCCTTGAGGGATCTGGCAGCTCCTCCCCAGGTGGCCACCCAGCACGTCCACGGGGCTTCTCCGCCTGGGTCCTGCCTCCGGCGCAGCATCTGGCCAGTGGGGGCGGGGAGGCAGCAGCAGCTGCTGGCGGGGCAGGGCTGCTCTGTGAGGCCCCCGCTCCGAGGGGCTCCTGAGGATCTGAGTCTTGGATCCCGGGAGGGCTCCGCCCCGGAGAAGGCCAAGCGGGGTGAGCCCTCTGGTCTCCTGACACGGGGGTCCTGGCTGGGGTGAGACAGAGCGCCAGAAGTCAGAGGGTGGCAAGAGTGGTCTGGTGGTGCTGGGTGCAGGGGGAGCATCGACAGTGTGTGATCGGGACCCCTGGAACTCCCACCCCTATTCCCGTGCTTGTGCCCTTCCTGAGTACACAACCAGGCAAGCTCCCTGCACGACGGGAGGCCAGCCAGACGCAGGCTTGTGGCTCGGTACCGGCTGGCAGAGGAAGAAGCGCACCGTGCCGCTGGCTGGACCAGAGGCAGAAACTGTCTGTAAAAGCAAGGCCAGATGTCTCCCCAGTGTCACTGTGGCTGAACCCCCAGGTGGACCCCCGAAGTTGACCTAATTATCGTATCCAGACAGGCTAGCGGCTGCCATGGGAGATCTCCGTGCTCCAGCACCGGTCAGAATCCTGGGCAGGCACAGGGAGATGCGTGGAGAACTTGGCAGGATCTCCTGGGCAAAAGAGCCAAGAATCAAAAGTGGGCTGAGGCAGATGCAGGAGGAGCCTCATCTGGGGGACTGCGGGCCCACATGCTCCCAGGGACCAGAATCAGTAATGACACTTGGGGACAGATGGGCCTACACAGAAGGCCAGAAGGCCAGGTCAGAGGAGAGACTGGCTGAGGATGGGCTGCAGGGGGCTGCCTGTGAGGCCAGCCATGGCGCTGGGCCAGGCATGCTTCCCCTCCCCCACCTCTCCCAGACTGGGTGGGGGGGGGCGGTGAGTTTCCGGCTGAGGACAAGGAGCCCATTGAGGCAGACAGCAGGGCTCTGTCTTTGCCATACTGTCTTGTTTGTGCCAGACAGGGGCCCGGCTGCAGGCTGGGTCCATGGCCACTGCCCTCTGGCCCCAGCCTCTGACCCTCCCCAACCACACCAAACAACTCAGAGCCCCAGTATAATAGCAAAGACCAGCAGGGAAAGCATGGGTCAAAAGTGATCTCCCCAACTTCCCATGTAGCTACAGAACTTCGCCCCATCTCTTCTGGCCCACATTTCGCAGATAGGAAGGCACCCAAAATAGAGGGTGTATGTGTGTGTGTGTGTGGGGGGGGGGTCAGGCAAGGATGGTGCACAATAGGCCTAATAAAACAGACACAACTCAGTTTGAGCATGGTCCCCTGAGAACCACACTCAGGATGGCTGCGTCAGCACTACAGCATTTGGGGTGTGAGGGCAGACCAGAGGGGTTTAGTTTTTGTCATTTTCTTTTTTCCCCTTTTGATTTTGGTACTCAGAACTTACTCCTGGCTCTGTGCTCAAGGATCACTCCTGGAGAGGCTGCTTGAGAGGGGATGCAGTGGATTTATGCAATGATGGGGATGGAACCAGCGTCAGCTGCACGCAAGGCAAGCGCCTTAGGCCCTGTACTTATGCAGCCCCACAATGCAGTTTCTGGGAAATGGTCTTCCTTGTCCAAGGTCCGAAGACGGGGGAAAGGAGCACAGGTGGAAAGAAAAGGCACTTTATTAAGAAAGCTTTGGCCAAGCCCTTGCCAGGGTGAGCCCATCCTGGGGCACCCTGGTGGAGAGGAGGTGGCCCTGCCGGGGGCCTATAAATACATCTCCTTAGGCCAGTGGGGTGGCCCCTCGGATTCCCACGCATTTGGGGTAGTGGGAGGCCATCAAAACCAGCTGACAGCTGAGGGGCCAGGGCTGGGGGGCATCGGGGTGGGACAGTCGAGCCTGGGAGCGTTGAACCCCTTGAGGAGCAGAGACCAGCCCTCCTCCCCAGGCTCCGGTTCACCAAATGCCCAGCCAGAGGGAAGAGCCTCGGGATCCGGTCAAGGAAAGTAGCCTCCAGCCAGAGGCGCCAGGCCCTGGCCAATGAGAGGCAGCGGGGCAGAAGTGCTTCTGGCCTCAGCCAATGAAAAAGAAGCCCCAGCCAAGTGCAAGCTTGACCAGTAAAAGGTCGTTTCTGGGCAGAACCCGCCCTCGGCTTGGCCAATGGGAAGGGAGATTTCCGCCAACCGCCGAGGCCCTGGCCAATCGGAAGGGGCCTTCCCGCCCGAGCGCCGGACGCGAGCCAATGAGGCCGCGCGGAGACGCCCGGCGGGCGCGGAGCGCGGGGTGCCGAGCAGCGCTGCTAAGCCGGGGGAGTTGCGGACGCTGCTGGGGTCGCCGCCGGCTACAGGGTGGGCGCCCCGGGCCTGCTGGGCTCTCCGGCCGCCTCCCGGCTCTTCTTGCGCGGCGGCTTCTGGATGGGGGTTTTCTTCCGCGGAGTTTCGGGGACGGGCGCGCCGACCGCGGCCGCCTTGTCGGGCCCGGGAGCCTCGGGAGTGGTGGCGGGCGCGCGCGCCGGCGAGGCGGGCAGCACCGAGCGCTTGGCCTTCTGCGGCGGCGCCGGCTTCTCCCGCGGGCCCGGCGCGCCCAGGGCCCCCTCGGCGCGGCCCAGGCTGCGAGTCTTGTCGCGCAGCTCGGCGGCCAGCAGGGAGGCGGCCTCCGGCGCACTGCGCGGGGGGCCGCCCGCGTCCGTGGGCTCGGAGGGGCCCGGCCCGCGGCCTCGCGCCCGAGCCCGGGGCGGCGAAGGCGCGGCGGGCCCCTCCTCGGCCAACCCCGGGGGCCGCGGCGTCGGGTCGCGGGCCCGGGGGCTGCTGGGCTCCTCTGGCCGCGCCGACGTGTCGCTGGGCGTCCGTTTCCTCTTGCTGGGGCTGGGCGCGGTCTCGGAGGCCGGGGGCGGCGGCGAGGGCGCGTGGGCGGAGGCAGCGGCGCCGTGCTTGCCGTGGATCCAGGACACCTTGGGCTTGGTGGCGGGATCGGGGGGCGGCGGCTTCCTGCGCTCGGGCGACGGCGAAAGCGACAGGCCCCCCGGCTCCCCCCGGGCCCGGGCCGGCCGGGCCTCGCGCCGCGCTATGCGCGCATAGAGCGCCCCGCCGGGCCCGTCCTCGCTGCACGCCGACCGCTCGCTGTCGGAGGACGCGGGGAGAGGCGAGGTCTCTTCGGCCGTCGCTGTCGCCGTCGCTGTCGGCGTGGTCAAGGGCCCGGGCGCTGACGCTGTCGCCGGCGTCCCGGTGGGGGCGCTAGGGGCCTCCGTATCCTGGCTCCCTGCCGCTGTCTCTGACGAGAAGGAGCAGGACAGTGACCCACCTGGACAAGGGGACCACCCGCTCAGCTTCCTCTTCTCATCACCTCGCCCTTGCCCTTCTTATCCAGACATGCCCAGGGGGTTCTAGCACTAATCAGCTGAGTTCAGAGCACCAGGGTGCAGCAGCTCAGAGGTGAGGGGCTCCTCCCGTTGGCGGCCTGACTTGGGTCCAACCACATGTGCCTCCCCATCACACCCCAGGTAGGGCAGTGAGTGTCACAGTGTTTAGACTTGACCCTTGAACCCTCGCAGGGCGATTTATGATCCTTTAGGAAGCAAGGCTTCGTAGGATATAAAGCTTCTTGCGACCCGAGCGATAGCAGAGTGGACAGGGATTGATCCCTGGCACCCCGGATGGTCCTCCAAGCTTGTCAGAAATCCCTGAGGGAGCCAGGAGTAAGCCCTAAGTACAGTCAAGTGTGTCCCCGCCACCCCCGACCACCACCCAAAAGGCTCTGATCAAACAAAAAGGAAAATAAAATTACTAGGGCCAGAGAGATGGCTCAAAGTGCTGGAGCCACACTTGGCTTGCTGTGGCTGTCTGGATCCCACTGCAAGTCCGCACCCCAGCACCTGGAGGACCCCAGCTGGGTCTGAGGGGCCTTTTAACCCTGGACCGAAGAATTGAACCTTTGAACCCAGTTGGCCCAATATCACTGAGCATGCTCCTGGCCCTGAATGCTTGGGAGCGAGGGGGGACGGGTGGCAGTGGGTGGATAGGACTCAGATTTAATGGCCTACCCAAGGCCACCCAGGGAGTGTCAGGAGAGGAGGCCAGAATCCCAGCAGTCAAGACCCTTCCTGATGTTTGTGGACAAAGATGTGCCACCAGATCCTCTAGGACCCCCTTCCTATCCCCTCTGCTCCCTTCTAACAAAGCCCAGAGACCTCTCCCCGCAGGTGCTAACCTGGGTCGTGACTAGTAGCAGGAGACCACCTATCTCCCTGGACCATCAGCACCCACCAGCTGTGCCCAGGATGCTGGACCCCTAGCACAGGATTCTTTTGGGCTGGAACACTTCAGTGGGCTGGAGCGAGGCCCAAGCAGAGCGCACTCACCCTCGTGGGGCACGCAGTACACAGGGCCTTCATCAGTGGTGTCGAAAGAGGAAAAGGAGGCCCGGGATGACCAGGATGGTGAGGGCTGCTCAAGGCCCGAGGGTGGCTCCAGGAAGCTACAGTTGAGCGTGTGATCCAGGTCGTGGTGGGCCACTGGGGACAGAAGGAGGCACAGGGGGCAGGAGCCCTGTACTACCCCAGCCTGTGCCCTCCCTGGCCCCCCATCACAAAAGACATGGCTATGACCAGCACTACCCTAGGAGAATCCTAGGCCAGAGAACAGGTAGAGGTGAACCCAGTAAAGAGAGAGGAGAGAACAGCTGGCATAAAACCTGCCAGTCTGAGCAGCCAGGTCCTGAAACGTCCTGATTACAATGTGGGAGAGGCAGCTGGGAGAGAGCACAATGAACCAGGCACATGCTTTGTGTGCAGGAGCCCTGGGCTCAATCCGCAGCACCACAAGATCCCCACAAGCACTGCTCGATGTGGTCCCAAAACCAAAAAGTGTTAGGAAAACAGGCTGGGGGTGTGGGTCAGCGGTAGAGCAAATGCCTTGCCTATGAGGCCCTGGGTTTGATACCAGCACTGCACCCTCCAAAAAGAAAATGCTGGGGAGACACTACTGGTTACAACACCCGCTGGCAAAGGCCTCAGAGCCTTGCTCTGGACCCTGCCTCCTGGGCCCTAAGGAGCTTGAGAGCATTTCTGAGCTCCCTAAGGCAGTGCTCACCCACTTGAACAGGTTGCACCTCCAGGACTGGGCTCTAGGGATGCATACCCCACGAGGGGAGATCCCAGAGGCTGGCTGGCTGACCTGCCTCCCAGAAGGAATGTAAGGAGATCCTGCTGCCACACCTGTGTCCATTGATTCCACACTGCTGGGGACCAAGATGTTATCTTGGGGGATTCTTTACCTCCTCTGATGGGTGTCAGTGCTCAGAGACTGCGTGAAGGAGCACTTCCTGGCACCGGGTAGGGAATTGGGGGTTGGGGGTATGTCCTGCCTGCTTTCCAGGAACTCAGCAGGACAGAGGCAGATCTCAGGTCGCGTGCATCTACAGCACCCCACCAGGGCTCAGAGTGTACCCCCGTGGGTGACATGCCCTACCCAATGCGATCATGCACACCACCCTGCGCAGCGGTGGTGACTCCCGCCTTCCTCCCCAGCCCGCGCCGTCGCGAACGTTCATTGCCCAAGCCCTATGGGACCCCCTTCCTGTCCAACCCTCAGCAGTCTGCGGCGTCGGGAGGTATCCCCGGCGGAGACTCCGTGTCACTCCTTACCTACAACCTTGGGCAGCTTCTGCCTGCGGAGCGGGATCCGGGGCAGCTTCATGCTGATGCGGCTGAAGCGTCCGCACAATCTTTGGGGCGCTTTCTTCCTTCCCAGCGCAAGGTCCCTGCGGGGTGCGGCGGGGAGTGAGGGGGCGGGGTCCGCAAGCGACCCCGCGCGGAAAAACGCACACGGGGCGGAGGCTGGGCGGCAGCGACGCAAAACCACACCCCGGGGCGGGGCCTGGGGGAAACCGGGGGCCTCACCGGCGCGCGGGATCCTTGCCCCGACAGGCGCAGCAGCAGCCGAGCAAGGAGAGCAGCAGCCCGAGGAGCAGGGCCAGCAGCGCGCCCGCGCCCATGACGCCCTTGCGCTGGTTGGTCTCTGTAGAGGAGGCACGGGGTCAGCACGAGTGACCATACTCTGCCCACACTCCAGGCGCCTGTTACCCACTCACCCAGGTGGCAGGCACCGGTGACCGGGTCGCACGAGTCCTCGTGGCAGCTGCAGGTCTGGGCGCAGTCCACGCCGTGCAGCCCAGGAGGGCAAGTCAGGTTACAGCTGCGGGAGCGTGGGGTCAGCGAGGGCCGCAGGCAAGGGCCAAGCCTGAGTCCCGTCTCGGTTGCCAACACAGCAGGACCTGGGGTCTGGCTGGAGCCCTGTGTCAAGCAGGCCCCTCCCCCAACCGTTTCTGGGCCCCTGGGCACTCACTGGGTTCCGTGGACGCCGGGGCTACACAGGCAACGCCCAGACTGGAAGTCGCAGTGGCCGCTGCCACAGTCCGCACACACGAAGGCGCAGTCCTCGCCGTAGGTGCCATTGCTGCACTTGGTCTCACACCTCGGAAGGAGAAAAGGAGGCATCGACGGAAATGGGGAAGGGGAGGGCACTGAGGGAAGAGCCGCTCAAACGTCTGGGATCAAGGGCTCAGACAGCTGCTCACCGGTCGCCAATCCAGCCCGCGTTGCAGCGCGTGCACTTGCCGGTCACATGGTTGCAAGCGTGCCCGTCGCGGCACGGCGGGCAGCGGTGGCCGCAGCCCTCTCCGTAGAAGCCGGTGGCGCACGGCTGGTCGCACTTGGTGCCGTTCCAACCGGGCTCGCAGGTCAGGCATCGGCCCTCGGCCACCGTGCAAGGCTGTTGGCCCTTGCACTGGCCGCATCTGGAGAAGGGAGGGGAGGCTAGGGGCGGGACCGGCAGCCGCCTCTCCCGGTTACCTCCGCCCCCGCGACCCGTCCCTCCCTCCCGCCCTCCCCAGTTGGCGGCCCTTTCTTACCGGCGCCGGCAGCCCAGGCCGTAGAAGCCTGCAGGGCACGGCTCTCGGCAGAATTTGCCGCGGTAGCCCGGCTCGCAGGCGCACGTGCCGTCCACAGGGTGGCAGCGGCCGTGAAAGCACTGGCAGTAGCGCTCGCAGTGCGCCCCGAACGTGCGCTCGCGGCACTGGCAGCGGCCGCTCTGTTGCTCGCAGGGCGACGAGTTGCAGGCGCAGTGATTGTTGCAGCTCCGGCCCCACCAGCCGACTTGGCACAGGCACGCGCCCGTCTGCGGGTCGCAGCGCGACATGGTGCTGCAGTAGCACGCGCTGGCACACTGCGCGCCCCACCAGCCAGGCTCGCAGCGACACACGCCGCTTCGCGGGTGGCACGCGCCGTGCTGGCACTGGCACGCATGCTCGCAGCGTGCGCCCCAGCGCCGCGCGTGGCACGTACACTGGCCCGTCACGTCCTCACATTGCCCGTGCGGGTGGCACACGCACAGTTCCTTGCAGTCGGGACCCCAGAACTGGCGCGGGCACTCTGCAGGGGTGAGCGGAGAGGGAAGGTGGGGGGCGCTCAGGAGAGAGCCCCAGACTCGGCGCGAACCGGACCGCGCGTTCCCCCTCCGCCCTCCGCGCCTCGGGCCCCGCCCCCAAGCCGGAGCCACAGCCCGCATCAGACCCCGCCTCGCTCGCTGGCTCCACCTCGCTGCCCAGGCCCCACTCTCGGACCCCTCCCCAGAGCCCAGCCCCCGCCGGGACCCGCGCTCACTGGTGTCGCAGTTGGCACCGAAGTATCCGTGGCGGCAGCGGCACTCGCCCGGCCGCACGCACACCTCATTTTCCGAGCACGTCGAGTTTCCTTCGCACACGGCTGCGGACGAGAGGGACCCAGGCTGCCTTGCGACCAGCTCCCACACTCTCCCTTGCTCTCCGTGCCCGCTGCCCGGTCCCCGGGATGCCCTACTCACCGACGGAACACTCCTCCCCCTGCTGCCTCCAGCCGGCGCAGCACGTGGGCTCTTGGGAACTGCAGGGGGAGAGAGTGACTGAGCCTGAAGCTCTTTCTCCGGCATCCCGTCCCGAAGGCTCCGCGGAGACCCCCACCAGACCTCCCTGCCTCGGAGGTCGCGGTCTGCCCCGGGAGGCGGCGGCCAAGGGCAATGTCAGGCACTATCAGAAGACTCCCCAGGTTCAGGGGACCATGAGGTCCAGGGCCAAGGACGAAGTGCGTGATTAGCATGGCCCAGGCTGGATCACTGACACCGAATAACCTTCTGAGCATTGCGGGGAGTGATCCTCTTCCCAGAAGGTGGGGGGGAGTGGTCCCAGCATCACCAGGTGTGGCCCCCCAACGGCCCTTCCACCACCCCAAGAAGCTAGGAGTTCCAGCTGCAGACACAGGCGGCAGAGAGCCAACCAACACAGCTTCCCTCTCCAAGCCATCCCGGTAACTAAGCCCCACTAAATTCTTCCGTGACCCTCTTCCCATTCACCAGACCTGTAACAAAGAGAAACCAGGAGGAGCAGCACCGTGAGGGGGCTGGGGAGATGCCTATGCCTGCGGGACCTGCTCAAACCTGATGGTCTGGAGCATCCCTGGGTGTTTGTGGATCCACCTGTGACACGACCTGGACAGCTTCAGGACAAGGAGGACCAGGACACACCTTGATGCTCAGCAGGGGCCAGGCACCAAGATGGGCAGGATTGTGTTGATGCAGTGAGGTGTCCACTCCTGCTGGCAGTACAACCTGGAGCAGTACAACCTGCCAGGAAGTCCCTCCCATCCCCACCTCCATCAAGAAATGAAAAACTAACACTTGGGGCAAGGAGAGATTCGAAATTCTATTTATACTTCAAAAAATATATCTTATTTATTTTGTAGTGCTGGAGATCAAACCCATGGCTTCCACATGCAAGGGGTGTGCTCGCACTGCCGAGCTATACCCCCAGCACCCCCTCACCCCCGGTCCAAATTTCCTTAATTTGATTTGGCTTCGCAAGGTACATGATGTAATGGTATAAGAGGTCAAGAAATTGCTTAGGGATGGTACAGTTTCTGCAACCCTAGACTGATGCAGGGTATGTGGACACAAAGGTTTGGAGGTCCTGCTCGAGGGGACAGGGCACATGAGTGACGCGCTGGGCTGGACCCACATGAGCACAGAGCTGCGGGGGTCTCACACATCTGTGAGGCAAAGGAAGGAGAGAAGAGGCACCCAGGCTACAGATTCAAGGGCCCCAATGGACCTAAAACGTCTGTGTCCGAACCCTAACGATACAGCAACAGCTGACACTTGGCGGGGAAGGGGCATTGAACCACACCCAGCTGTGCTCAGGGTTTATTCCTGGCTCTGCCCAGGGATTATTCCTTATGGTGCTCAGGGAACCATATGGGATAGAACCTGCATCGGCCACATGCAGGGCAAGTGCCTTTGTAGGAGCCTGGTGTTAGAGCCACACCAAGCCTACCTCTGCCACTTGCCTTCTGAGCTTCAGCTTCATATGTATAAATAGGGCTGGAGAGAGGGAATAGGGGATCCGGTGCTTGCCTTATGTGTGGCCGATCCCGGTTCAGTCTCCAGAACTGTGTGCGGTCCCCCGACCACCACTAGACTGAATGAGCCCTGAGCACCAGGCATGATTTTTCTTGCAAGTGACCAATCTAGGTTCAATTTCCAGGACCCCATATTATTCTCACCAGAGTAACCCCTGAGCAAGCCCTAAGTACTGCTGAAGGGACTAAGAAAGAAACCCCAAAGTAAATAAGAATAAAAAGAGAGAAGGAAAGCGGCTGGAGAGATAGCACAGTGGGCAGGGTGCTTTCCTTGCACAGCAGCCTATGTGGGTGTCCCATATAGTTCCCTAAGCACCACCAGGAGTAATTCCTGAGGGCAGAGCCAGGAGTAACCCCTAAATATTGCTGGGCGTGGGGAGAGAGAGAGAGAGAGAGGATGAGCGCAGGGGGTGTGGGTTGAGCACATGCCCTACACACAGGAGGCCAGGGCTCTATTCCCAGCACACCTCAAGATCCTCCATGTACTACTGGGAGCACAGAGGAGGGAGTAGTTCCAGGTATTACCATAAATGGCTTGAGAAAGAGGTGATGTGTCAAGTGTGTGGCACAAACTGTGAGTCCCACTAAGACTGCTCTTTGCTTCCCTGCCATGCTGGACAGGCTCCAGGAAGTCCCTGGGTCCACCTGGCTTCCACAGCAGGGTAGACACCAGGCTCCACCCTAGCAGGGTAAAGCTCAGGTAAGTGACTAAGAACAGGAGTGTGGCTAGAGGAAAACCTCCTTCCCTCCGAGAAGTGGCTGGCAGACAAGCGGGGCTAGAAAGAGCTCGAACCCCTTAGAAAAATGAGATGGAAGGTGATCTGGACACCGGGCAGTTTCCACACCTCAAAAGGCCTTGGGGAGCCAGATGGCTGTGCTGCAGGATGCCCCCGGGCCCACCCAAAATTGAGGGTAGGGCCAGAGTGCATGCTTTCCATCCCTGCACCACTGCCAGAGTGATTCCTGAGCAACAAACCAGGAAGAGCCCCTGAGCACCTCTGGGTGTGGACTCCCAAAAGAGCCTTACTGAGAGTACGCCGGCTTTTGACTATCACCCTCCCTGCAGTCTCCAAATGGGTCCCACCTTCCACTCCCAGCCCCCACCCCCATTCATCTGCCCATTCATCAGGGCCTCCTGCCCCTCCCTGTGGCTAGACTAACGCCCAAGTCTGGAAAAGTGGGTTAAGCTCTAGCCCCGCAGGGCTCCTCCTGCACTCAGGACCACATCCCAGGTACCGTGAACCCCCACCTCCTCTCCTCAGGGAAGGCCCATCCTGGTTGCCCCTCTCAGTCAGGTCACCCTGTAGGATAGAGCTCGCACGGAACCCCAGCACTGCTCCCGGACTCACACACAGGAGGGGCCGTGAGCGCCGCTGCTGCCTCTTGCACACACAGTAGGTGCGAGAACATGGTCGGGTGCCCGTTCTCCTTAGTAGGACGGGGGGGGGAACCTCCAAGGTGGACAGAGATGACTCCCCTCTGGGAGGGCAGTGCCCAGGCTGCCCAGAGTGAGCTCCCACCCGGTCTCTGTCATTGCCCCCAAACAAGATGAGGTGGGTGCTGGCACCAACGGCGGGTCGGGTCTACAGGGGTCAAGCGACTTGGCCAGGCGCACACAGGAACAAGGGGCGCACCGGGACCCCAGCTCCGGGCTACTGAGTAAGGCCGCCTCGGGAGCGGGATCCGTGCCACCGGGTCCCCCAGCTCCGATGCCCGTCGGGGAAGGAGGGCTGGCGAGGCTGGCGGCGGCGGGCAGGCGCGGCCCCGCCCGCCGCCGCCACTGCATTCCTGGGGCCGGGGAGGCCCGGGAGGCGGCGGCGGCGGCGATGCGAAGCAGATGGCGGGCCAGGCCGGCCCCCGCCCCGGAGGCGGGGCTCGCGGCGGGGAGGGGTCTGCGCGCCGCGGGAGCCGATCTCGGAAACCCCGCGCAGCCCCCTCCGCAGCCCCTTGTCTGCTGCCACCGCCGAGCCCCCCAAAGCGGCCTCCCGGGGCCCTGCCGCTGCGGGCGCCCCGACGGCATCTGCCCGGAGCCCCCCGGCTCGCTTCTCCAGCTCCCCGCTCGCGCCGAGCACCCAAGTCCCGTCACCGCAGTCCCCCGCCCCACGCCGGCTCCCGCCTGGCCGCGGACGCGTCCTTGACCTCGCCGTGGCCTCTGACCGGCCTGCCAGGCCCCCAGACCCCGCGCCCACGCCCGGCGTCTCCTCTTCGCCCTCGGTTGAAGGTCGGAGACCCCAGCCCTTCTTCGGCAGGGTCTGGCCCGCGTCTGCCCCGCTCCGGCGTTTCCAGCTCGCTCCTCGTGGCGCCCCACCTTTGCTCTGTCCCTTGCTGCACCCAGGACCCCCCCCCCCCGCCCGGGGGCGCCGCCTCCTGCAGACACGGTGCCCAGCGCTGTCCGAGCCCCTGCCCGGAGCCGCGCTCCATCGCCAACCCTCCACCGCCGCGCTTGCTCGTGCTGAGACGCGACACGGTCCCGCAGAGCCGCTCCCAGTTCGCGGGGCGCCGCTCCGTCGCCTCTCCCCCCCTCCCGACGCCAGCCGCCTTCGTGCAGGGGCCTTTGCACATGTCGCTCGGGCGACTCGGCCGCCTGCCGCAACAGGCTGGCCCACGGCTCCCCTTTTCTAGGAATGCAGTCGCGGCCGCGTGTCACCCACGACACTCCGCTTGCCCTCCGCTGGCCACGAGCCCCGGTATCCTCGGGAGCGCTGCCGTCCCGTGCGCCCCGGCTCCGCCTGCGGCAGAGCGGCATCGGCCGGGGGCCCCAGGGGCCGGCGCACTGAGCTGCGGCCGCGGGGAGGTCCCGGGCGCCCCCCTTCCCGGCCACCCCCACGGCCCGAGCGCCCCCCGCGGCCCCTCTCCCAGCCAGGCCGGGCTCCTACCCGGGCGCGCGGCACACGTTGCGGCCGCGCGGGTTCAGCTCCTGGGGCGCCGCGGGGCCGGCCAGCAGCCAGAGCAGCAGCAGCGGCGGCGGCAGCAGCGGCGGGCCCCGGGCTCCCCGGCGCCCCGGCGGCCCGGCCCCCCGGGGCCCTGCGCCCTCCATGCGGCGCGGGGCTGGCGCGGGTGCGGCCGCAGCGAGAGCGGCCGGAAGCGGAGTGCGCGGCCGGGCGGGGGGCGACAGGAGGGGCGCCGGGCCGGGCAGGAAATTCCACATCGGCTCCCTGATCCCCGGCCAGCCGCGGCCGGCCAGGCGGCAGCGCCCGCCCCGCGCCAGACCCCACCCACCCTCCGGCCGCGCCGCCGCCCCTGCGCGCAGCCCCCGCCCCTCGCGGCCGCTCGCAGACTTGCGGGGGTTTGGATGCAGGAGGCCCGGGGAGGGAGGCAGGGGCGCGGGGCCGCGGGCGGAATCCCCCCGCCCGACGCCGCCTCCGGCTCCCGGGGCACCCGCGGCGGGAGCGACTCCCGCGCGCTCCCTCGAGGGCCGAGTCCGCCCGGGACGGCGAGGAGATGTGAGACCCGGGCGGACGCCCCCGCCCCGCCGCCCGCCCCCCAGCGTCCCGGATCCCGCCTGGGCTGGGCGGCCCCGCACAGGGCCCGGGTCAAGGCCAAGAGCCTCCGTTCCAAAAGTCCTCTAGTGCCCGCTGAGTGCTCAGCTATTCTTGGCGCGCTGGGCACCATCGAGAGTGGCCGAGGCAGCCCGAGTAGGGTGCTTGAGGCCTCTGATTGCCTTGGTATAGCCGAGAGGCCCTGGGGGAAGGGGGTCCGCGTGGGGACGGGGCTGGAGAAGCCCCAGCAAGATCCAGGGGCACAGCCATGACCCCTGATAGAAGCACAGAGCCAGCGAGGCCACCGGAGACCTCTCGGACTGACAGCCCAGGTGCTTGTCACAGGATCAGGGAGGGTCAAGGAGCCCACGAGAGGGATTAGCCTGTGAAGACTGTGGGGAGCCCCAAGAGGCAGAGTCTAGAAGGAGTGTCAGGGCAGGGATAAGTGGGAGCTCCAGGCAACCAGGAGGGTAGGTGGCCGGGAAGGTGGTGGGACCTAGATGGAAAGGGAACAAGGTCTAGGAGCAGTGGCAGGGAGCAGAGGGGTGGCCTCAGAGCACAGAGAGCAAACGCTAGTGGGGGTGGGACAACCAGCGGCCCCCAGGCCCCAGCAAGGATGAGCCCTTTGAGGACTTGGCAGCTGGCGGTGGGAGGGTCTGGGGAAGACAGCACCTGCTTCTCTTGGGGAGCAGGTGACCTGGGGCATCCTGGGGTGAGGGAGCAGGTGACGAAAGGACTGAGGTGGAGGGTCCTGCCATGGCGGGAGGGAATTGGAACAAGGACTGCAGAAGGCCCCATCCCTAGGCTGCAACCTGGGACCAAGGCCAGTGCAGGGTAGGCTGGCAGGGGTGGGGAGAGCGGGATAGGGGCTTCAGCCTTAGGACCCTCTCCCCGGGGTGCATGAGTTCAGGAGCAGTGGGCATGGCCAGCAGCAGGGTGGGCTGGAAGGGGCAGTTTGCCCATATGGTCACAAATGCAAACACTCCTTAGTACAAGTAAATAGGCCGGCCACTTCTGGGCAGCTTAGCCTGGGCACACCTTGGGCCAGCAGCGCCCTCCTGTCTCTGGCCTGGCCTGTGGAGCCCCAGCTCAGGGTATACCACTTGATTCTCACTCTAGAGGGACAGATCCCTGGACTGGAGGAGCCCCCAGGACTCAGTTCACAAATGCACCTCAGACTTCATCTTTCCCCTCAGACCTGCGGGTCCCCCAAATTTCCATCTTTGTAAAAGGCTGGCATTCTGGAGGATGTCCCCCCGCAACAGCAGATCACCCATGGGGTCAGAGCTCTTCCCTTAAAAGCAACTTTGTCTTACTGGCGCTGGGCCACGCCGGTGGGAATAGGTTTTGTGCCTTGGCCTGTTCCCCCTGGCAGCCCAGTGGCCACCATCCTCCAGAGGCCACTGGACAATCAGGTTTGGGTCCGCAGTGACGAGACACACGGTCCTCATGGAATGGGGATGGATCCGGCCCTTCCCTCCACACTCCAACGAAACCCTGAGTCGCCGCCCACGAACGGCCTCTCTGGCTCCTGATCATGCTGCTTAACGCCCATGATCCCAGAGACTCAGAAACTAATCTTGGAACCCAGTGGCTTTTGGCAGAAATGCATCCGGACCCTGCAGTAGGTTACTGTCGCTGGGCCACCACAGGGGTGTTGTCCCTTCTCCTGCTACCCCTAGGTGGCTCGGTGGCCGCTATCCTCCAGAGGCCACTGGACAGTCAGGTTTGGGCCTTCTGTGACAAGACACATGGGGCCTCACGGGATGGTGGTGGCGTCGGCCCTTTCCTCCCCGTCCCAATGAGACCCCTGAGTCGCCACCAATGAATGGCCTTTCTGGCTCCTGATCAAGCTGCTTAATGACCATGATCTCAGAGACTCAGGAACAAATCTCGGAACCCAGCAGGTTTTGGCAGAAATCCCTCCAGATTTAAGGGTTAAAATTTTGGAATTTCAAAATCTCACAGCCACTACTGCAGCCATGAGACATCATATGTTACTCTTTTTTTTTTTTGCTTTTTGGGTCACACTCTCGATGCACAGGGGTTACTCCTGGATCTGCACTCAGGAGTAGTTACTCCTGGCAGTGCTCAGGGGACCATATGGATGCTGGGAATCGAACCCGGGTCGGCCACGTGCAAGGCAAACGCCCTACCTGCTGTGCTATCTCTCCAGCACCCATATGTTATTCTTAACCAGCAATAGAAAACAAATTGTCTACTGTTGCCTTTTCAGCAGATCTGAGTGTTGGGGTAAAATCCCAAATAATAATGGTGGGTCTGGTGTCAAAATATTGAATGTGATCAAAGTAGAGAGAGAATAATGTGGAAATCATCTGCCCCACAAGTAGGGAGAGGGTGTGGGATGGGGGTATACTGGGGTCTTTGGTGGTGGAGAATGGGCACTGGTGAAGGTACGGGTGTTTCATTGTATGACCGAGACTTAAACCTGAAAGCTTTGTAACTGCTCTCACGGTGATTTAATAAATAAAATTATAAAAAATAAAAAGATACTGTATCTGTAATTTATTTATTTTAATATGTAGGAGTACTGCTATTTATTCAGCCACTGATTAGCTGATTGAATTGGGCATGAACTCCACCTTACTTTTTTTTTCATAGTTTTATTTATTTATTTATTTATTTTTCGTCTTATATTTATTTATTGAATCACTGTGGGAGAAGTTATTAAGCTTTCAGAAGAAGTTACTAAGGTTTAAGTCTCAGTCATACAATGATCAAACACCTTTCCCTTCACCAGTACTCAATTTTCCCCACCAAGAACTCCAATATACCCCCCTCATACCCCTCCCAATGCCTGTGAGGCAGATAATTTCCACTCAACTCTTCTCTACATTGATTACATTCATTATTTTGACAAAAGATGCACCATTATTGTTTAGAATTTCCCCCCAACAATCAGAATTGCTGAAAAGGCATTGTGAAATACTTTGTTTTCTATAGCTGGTAATTAGAATCATATAATGTTGCACGGCCACTATTGCAGCCGCGCAATTTTGGATTTCTGCAAAGAGCCAGACAATTACGAGATTGGTTTCTGTGCATCTGATGTTATGACTGTTCCAGAGAGCCGCTCATGGGGGGCAACTCAGGACCTTGGTAGGGAGTGAAGGACAAACCAGTACCGCCCCCTTCCCATGAGACTGCAGTTGCCCCGTCACAGCCCAGCCGGCTCATACCTGACATTCCTATAAGCTCTGAGGCGGTGGCCACCTTGCTGCGGGGGGGGAGGGGGAAAGGCGGAAGGGAGCAACACCCTTTCCCTCCTGGGGAGGCATGGCGCTGTAGTTTACCACATGGTCCATTCACTTTTCTGCCGCAAGCTGCTGGGCTCTGGATTAAGTCCTTTTGCCTCTGGAGCCATGACTGTGCCGGAGAGCTACTCGTGGGGGGCAACTCGTGACCTCGGTAGGACGTGAAGGACGAGCCGGTACCGCCCCCCTTCCCATGAGACTGCAGTTGCCCCGTCACTGCCGGCTCATACCTGGCTTTCCAAAAGGCTCTGAGGCGGTGGGCACCTTGCTGCTGGGGGAGGAGGGGAAGGCAGAAGGGAGTGACACCCTTTCCCTCCCAGGAGGCATGGCGCCGTATTTTAACGCATGATCCATTCACTTTTCTGCTGCAAGCTGCCGGGCTCTGGATTAAGTCCTTTTGCCTCTGGAGCCATGGCCGTGTATGCAGTCCAGATGCATTTCTGCCAAAAGCCGCTGGGTTTCGAGATTTGTTTCTGAGTCTCTGGGATCATGGCCATCAATCAGCTTGATCAGGAGCCAGGGAGGCCGTTTTTAGGCGGCAACTCAAGGTCTCGCTTGGATGGGGAGGAAAGGGTCAGTTCCACCCCCATCTGGTGAGGCCCTGCGTGTCTTGTTACTGCAGGCCCAAACCTGACTGTCCAGTGGCCTCTGGAGGATGACAATCACTGGGCCGCCAAGGGGAACAGGCCAAGGCATGAAACCTATTCCCACCTGGAGTGGCCCAGCGCCAGTAACCTACTGCAGAAACACATTTTTGCCAAAAGCCGCTGGGTTTCGAGATTTGTTTCTGAGTCTCTGGGATCATGGCCATTAAGCACTTCAATTAGGAACCAGAGAGGCCATGCCTCCAATTATATAACTGAATTGGAGGTGGTTTGTGGGCGTGTCTCCCACACACCTAACTTTTGGCCATTTACTTTCTTGGTAAACTTTGCCTCAAGTTTTTGGGGTATGGTCAAAGGCACAGCAGCAATTTTGGGGTATCTGAAAGTCTGATGGTGTCATCAGGCTGCTGATGCACTCGCCTCATAGGTACAGATTGACCTGCTGGCGGCAAGTATCTGTAATTTAAAGTTCTTTAAATTTAATGGGTTGCAGGTAACAAGAGAATATTAGTAAATTTTGAAATAAAAAAGTATATATTAGAAAAAAAAGCAACTTTGTCATCTCATCCCCATTGCTCTCGGATGGTAACTGTGGCCAGGGACTGGAGAGATAGTACAGTGGGCAGGGCACTTGTTTTGCATGTGGGTTCAATCCCCAACATCCCATGTGGTCCCCCCAGCCTCACCAGGACTGATCCTTGAGCATAGAGCCAGGAGTAAGCCCTGAATAGTACCATTTGGTGTCTCCCAAAGCAAAAAGAAAAAAGTCAATAAAAAGGACTGTTCCCAGCCCGAGCTCAGAAACTCCAGACATTCAGGCAGTCGATGACAGTCCAGAAATCAGAGGTATCAAATGACTCCCATGCCCCTTGAGAGACCGAAAGGCAAGGAAGGAGTGAGCAATAGACTCCAACCGGGCCTGGAGCCAGGGAATTAGAAAGCAGAGGCAACTGTAGGTAGCTGGGCACCTTCAGACCTTCAGTTGTTGCCAGTGTCCCAACAGGCTCACCCGTCCTGGCCAGGATGGCTTCCTAGAGGTGCAGATTTTTCAGGCAGGAAAGGGCTGAGCATTTGAGCAAAGGCATGAATGCAGAATTGGCAACGTGCCCAGCTAGAGGGCTCAGGCTGCCCAGTTCTCGAGACAGGAGGTGGTACGGGAAGTGTGCTTGAATGCCAGGCTGCTGCCCAAATCCCTGGCCCTGTGCCAGGACTTGCCCTCTACTCTACCCTATACTCCCCTTGGTCTTATACGTCTTATTTTTAAAATTGGGGAGGTGGACTCCTAAGCAGTGCTCTGGAGGCCAGGAGCAACTCCTAGCGAATTCTTAACCAGCTGGGCTGGGAGTGCAACATGAGGGCCTAAGGATGTTGTGCTAATCAGACCATGCAATGCTGAGGAGTATTTGGGCTACTCCAGTGTACTTGGAGGCCTCTAGAGCTGCACCTGGAGATGCTCAGGGTCCAGGCTCAGCTACATGCAAGGCACATGCCTTAGTTTAGCCCCAAACTATCTCTCCAGTCCTGTTCTATTTTGTTCAAGTGATGAAGATACAGAATTAGGTAGGATTCAGGATTTGTCTCTGGAATGATGCAGCCTAATAAACTTCTCAGATCAGTGGGAACTTCCGCTGGCTGAGAATTGCCTGTCTTCCGGGCTGGAGCTGCTTCCTGCAGTCACACTACAGACAGTACTTGGCCAGGTTAAAGGCAAGGTCCCATGACACCCACGACCACAGTGCTCTTCCAGCCAAGCAGCAGATCTCTCGGAGCCAGGCCAATGTCGGCATTGCAGGTCCTGCCTACGATGCAGATGTATTGTACGATGAGCAGGAACCGGAAGTTGAGGACTGCCTGGAGGACGTGCAGAATCATTTGCAGGTGAGATTGGCTCAGCAGCTGCAGTTGCAAGGATTGAGGTGTCTCCAGGGTGGTGGGTCCATCTCCCGCTGAGGCTGGTGTGGACTCACAGTCCATGCTCACCCACATCCTGCCCAGGAGCCCCTCTTGAGCTCTTGGTCCCTCCCAGCATCTTGCCAACAAAAACAGAGTCCCCAGATCTGCAGTCATGGCTCCAGCTCAGATCGCCAGGCTGGCAAGCAGCAGCCCCACAGTCTGGAAGCCGAGTAGAAGGTGGTGAGCATCGGGGGCTGGAGCTATAGCACAAGCAGGCAGGGCGTTTGCCTTGCACGTGGCTGACCTGGGTTCGATCCCAGGTTCTCCGAGCACTGCCAGAAGTAATTCCTGAGTGCAGAGCAGGAGTAACCCCTGAGCACTGCTGGGTGTGATCCAAAAAGCAAAAAAAGAGAGAAGGTGGTGAGCATCAAGTTGCTGATCCCTTGGTAGTGGTAGAAATGATACTTATATGGGGGGGGGGGGGGGGAGAAGCCACATCCTGCTGTGCTCAGGGCTTACTCCTGGCTCTGCACTCAGGGGACCGTATTAGGAGCTGGGCATCTTACCCACGTCAGCCATGTGCAAAGTAAGCGCCTAACCCACTGTACTATCTCTCTGGCCCCATAAATGACACTTTGGGGGGTGGGGGTTGGGCCATACCCAGTAGCACCCAGGGCTTCTGACTCAGCCCCAGGGTTCAAGGCAAGCACCCCTGTACTATTTCTTCAGCTCCTCAATGATATTTTCCAGGAAAAGGTGACTTGCGAGTGAATAGGAGTGCCTGCTTGACCCTCCTCTCTCTCCTCAGTGCCTTCCCCAGCCCCTCTGTTTTTTTTTGTTTTTGTTTTTTGCTTTTTGGGTCACACCCGGCGATGCACAAGGGTTACTCCTGGCTCTGCACTCAGGAATCACTCCTGGCGGTGCTCAGGGGACCATATGGGATGCTGGGGATCGAACCCGGGTCGGCCGCGTGCAAGGCAAATGCCCTACCTGCTGTGCTATGGCTCCAGCCCTCCCCCTCTGGTTTTAAGGTGGTCTTCAGGGACTACTCCCACTGTGGTGCTGGGTGGGGGGTTCATTCCCGCTGGTGCTCGGGGGGCCATGCGGGCTGGGGATCAGACCCAGGGCTCTCACAAGCAGCACGTGCTCCTCCCTTTGAGCCATCTCCTCAGCCCAGCCTTATAGCGCTTTTGGTGGGGAGGGAGGAGGGAGGTGTTGGGGACCATGTCCAGTGGGGTGATCACGTGGTGCAAGGCAAGCGCCCTACCTGCTGTGCTCTCCGGTCCCCCACTGTCACAGTCATAGCCCCCCCCCCCCCCACCAGAATCTCCCACAAACCTGTGTCTGTGTCTCAGTGGCTCTAGGGGGCTAGAGGCCCCAAGCTAGGCACATGCCCGGCCCTGGGGTACACCTTTGGCACTGCTCTTCTCCGCAGGGGGTCTGTGAGAAATGGGGGCTCCCAGTCCCATGGGGAGTCCTGCTTGAGTCTGTCCCAACCCCTCAGAGCCCGGGGAGCCCATCCTGGGGAATGTGATCCTCCTGTCCCACTGGAGTGACTCACCAGGGTCTGTTATGGGATTGCCACCCCCAGGTGTAAGCACAGGGTGTCCTGCTGGGCTTAAGGAGCGGGGGCACATTTCCTCAGGGTTAGGGGGGCCCTGCACGGGCACTGGTGGTCTCATCTCCCTCCCCAGTCCTCAGGGTTTCCCAAAGGGAGAGCCCAGAGAGCTGCCCACTCGTGCCAGCTGGCCCCACTCCTCCTCCTGTGACAGCAGGCCCAGGGCTCAGAAACCCGTCCCGCATGCACCACTCTGTGCAGGGGCCAAGGGAGCAGGCCTCAGGAGGTCACGTCACACCCGCTGTGGGCCAGGCAGGGCTGCAGGAGTGGTGGCTGGCAGGACGGATTGATGACCAGATGCCACCCAGCTATGCAGGCACGGGTGCCGGGACCCCAACCTATCTATCTGCGGCACCAGCGTGGCCCTTGAGGTGCTGTAAGGGACCCAGGAAGTGCAAAGGGCCCGGGAACAGGCCAATGGGTCTGGCCGGACTTCAGAACCTCGCCTCAGCCTCAGTTCTAACATGGGCCATGTTACCAGGCGCTGGGGCTGCTTGCAGCGTGGAGCCAGACTCTTAACTGCAGCTGCCGGATATCCAGAGAGCAACTCCAGAGACAGTGCTCCAGGCAGGTGCTCCCGACGTGGGCAGATTTCCAGAGGTGTCCTTTGAGCCAGTGCTGGACTATGCTCTTCCCTCCGGGGGCCACCCTCCCCCTTCCCCCCAACTCCTGGCCCTGGAAATCTGCTTCCTGCCACAGCAGCTGGCCAGCTGGCGGCCCCAGCGGCGGGGACAGGCGGCAACAGGAAGGGAGGCCACAGTGACAGGAAAACCATTCACACACCTTTTGTAAGACGATTTATTTCATTTATCAACAAGGTGGAGTGGAAGAGCCAGCTGTGGGGGGAGGTCATCACTCGGGCCAGTCTGGTCACTCGGCTGCTGGCAGCTCTCCGTCACACGAGTCCGGCTACAGGGCAGGCCAGCCAACATGTCCTTCAGAAGGGGCTTCGGGGGCCACTGTCCCCTTGTCCAGGCCCTCCCAAGAAGGGTGCCTCCTCCACCCGGCAGGGACCAGAATGGGGAGCTGGAAGTCCCAGGCAGCCCCTGCAGGGGTGAGGGGGGCTGGAGGGCAAACAGGGGAGCACTGCCCTCCCCAGAGCTCCCCACTGCAGGGAAAACCAGAACCCCACCGATACCGATACCGACTGCAGGTCCCCAGGGAGGGGAGTCAGAGGAGGGAAGGGTGGGAGGGTCACCCGCAGCCTGGGGCAAAGTACTCTGGCCTGGGCCCCGCTGCTGCCTGCTCTTGGTCTAGTCCTCACTGGAGTTGTCGAATTCCTCCCAGTCAGAAACACTCATCACCTCGGAGGCAAAGTCTGGGATGGCCTGGCTGTGGTTGGGGGTCCCCCGGGGCGGCTCGAGGAGCAGGGAGCGGGGCAGGGTCAGCACGCAGGCGGCCAGGCCCGAGATGGAGTTGTCCAGCTGGGGCCCCTCCTCCCAGCAGTCCTTCTCCAGGTCGTAGATGTGCACGTAGCCCGTGCGGCTCCCGCGGTTGTGCGAGCGCCCGCCCAGCACGTAGATCCTGTTGTCCAGGACTGCGATGCCAGGCTCGCCGTGCCCCGCTGGCAGCGGGCAGACAGACGACCACTGCCCGGAGGTGCAGCTGTAGCAGGCCACCTGCAAAGCCAAGGCCAGAGCAAAGCAGGGATGAGGGGGCCTGAGCTCACAGCGGATGGTCTGGGCCGCAGGCGTGAGGGCTCCTCCCCGCCAGCCTCTTGCTGCTTCCCACATGCCCCAGTCACCACTTCTTTTTATCTCAGGGGCAGGGAGGTCACAAGAGGTGCTCAGGGGGCCCAAGGGCCCCTGCTCACGATTCTCCACCAATGAGGCCCAGAGTTCAATGTGAGGCTTGAGGATGTCGTGCTGCTCGGGCCCTGCAGTGCCGGGGGTCACCCAGCCACTTCAGTGGAGCGAGGGGGCTGGGCAGAGCCCAGGGTCATGTCCAGCTGTGCTTGGCCGTGGGAGGCACGTGGTGCTGGGACCCAGCCTGGGTCAGCCACGTGGAAGGTCAGTGCTCTTAACCCCACTACCATTTCTCCAGCCCTAGAAGCGAGGGGCATGGTGTTGTGAAAAGAGTTGGTGTTCATCAGCAAAGTGAGTATTCTGGGAGGACATTTTAGTGTGACTTCCTTTTATTTTTTATTTATGTTTTTTGGGGCATGGGGTGGGGCACACCTGGCGATGCTCAGGTATCACTCCTGGAAGGCTTGGCAGAGCATATGGCGTGCCCGGGATTGAACACTGGTCTGTGCACGCAAGGCAAGTGCCCTACCCACTATACTATTTTGCTGGCCCCAGTGTGACTTCCTTTTAATAAGTACGTATGTTGTGCTGTCTTATTGTAATAAGTTAAAAAGCAGACTCCTTGGGCTGGAGCGATAGCACAGCGGGCAGGGTGTTTGCCTTACACGTGGCTGACCCGGGTTCTATTCCCAGCATCCTATATGTCCCCCAAGCACTGCCAGGAGTAATTCCTGACTGCATGAGCCAAGAGTAACCCCTGTGCATCGCTGGGTGTGACCCAAAAAGCAAAAAAAAAAAAAAAAAGCAGACTTCTATTTTATGGCCCCCCCAGGAGTGATCCCTGTGATCCCTGAGCACAGAGCCAGGAGTAAGTTCTGAGCACTTCTGGAGGTGGCCCCCAAATCAACACCAAACAATTCCCCCCAAAAAATCAGTTAGGACCAAGGAGAGAGCACAGACGCTACGGCGATGGCCGTGCACGCAGCACACCTGGGTGATCCCTGGCAGAGCCTGGAGGAACCCCTAGCCCTGCTCCATGTGGTCCCAACACTGCCCAATTTTATCATTTTTGGGTTTTTCTTTTGGAGGGCACATCCGGTGGTGCTCAGGGGATACTCCTGGCTCTACACTCAGGCTCCATACCCTGGCAGTGCTCAGGGGACCAAACGGGATGCAGGGAACAAACCCAGGTCAGCCGTATGCGAGGCAAGCACCCTACCTGCTGTACAATTGCTTCGGCACTGGTGTTATTCTTTTTAAAGACTGAGATTATGTTGTTCACAGTACTATTAATAATAGTTTCTCCCAGTCTGTTTTTAAAACACACACACAGGAATTAACCTTCCACGAGGGATGGAGTTCCCACAGGCTTGCCCGAGTGCCCCATCGGCCCCCCTCACCTGGTGCACATCCTCCCTGTAGCCTGCGTCGTTGTTGCTCCCCCCAATCACATACAGCTTGTCCAGGAGGGTGGCCATGCCGTGCCAGGCCCGCCGCACGGGCCCGTCGGCCAGCATGTGCCAGGTGTTGCTGTCCGGGTCATAGCACTGAGTCTCCTTGAGGTAGTCGTCACCCCGGCGGCCACAGGTGATGTACATCTTCCCCTCCAGCGTGGCGCCCGCATGCGCGTACACCTGGTGAGGCCAGAGAGATGTGGGTGGGGAAGGGCACCCCCGGGACCAAGGGGGCGACCGGGGCCCTAACAGGGGGCTGCTCAGCTCCCTCAGCTGCCCGGGCGGGCTCCATGACCCCTCACAGCCCTGCAGGAACGCTCCCCAGGTTCTAGCCAGACACCTGCTCTTCCCTCCGCCCAGTAGGAAACCATGGACACAGCAGGAGCCTCTGCATGTCATGGGATCCCCCAAGAGACACCTGCTGGAGATGTAGCACAGGGGGTAGGGCGCCTGCCTTGCACACATTTGACCTGGGTTCGATCCCAGCTTCCCATATGCCCCCCTGAACACCACCAGGAGTAATTTTTGAGTGCAGAGCCACGCTGAGCATCGCTGGATGTGGCCCCAACCCTCTCCCACCATCTTCCCCCCAAAAACAAAGACACCTGTGAGGGTGAATTGCACCAACCCAAATGCTGTTATCAGGGCTCCTGACCCAAGAGAAGAGACAGCACCTTGGGAGACACCAGACCCACTGCCACATAGGTCGGGTGACAGATCAATGGAGCCTAGACACGGGCGAATTCACAACGACGCCCACCTACAGCTTCCATGATGCAACAAAGCATTGCTACAATACCACTTCACGAAAAGCGGAAGAAAGTGAGGGCCAGGGAGAGGCCTCCCAGGACTGGGCGCTTTCCTTGCCTGTGAGAGCCCCAGGTCTGATCTTTGGCATCACATGGTCCCGTCATGTCCCCCACTTTCCATTGCCCCCAGCACAGCAAGAACAGCTGGGAGTGATCCCAGAGTACTAAGCTGGGAGTGACCCCAGAGTACTGAGCTGGGAGCAGCCCCTTGCTCCCAAGTACTGCCAGGGGTGGCCCCCAAACAAAACACAACACAGAGAAACAAAAAAGTGAGATGCAAAATCAAGCTCAAAGGACACTGGCGCTCTGGCAACAGGTGCTGGGAGCAGGAAAAGGAGGACACCCCTGACTGCTCCGGATTTCCTCCCCAGACCACAACCTTAGAGCTTCCTGCTGCACCTGCAGTCCCCCTCCATGCCACTGCTCGGGATGCCGTGCCCGCCCCCACCTCCGGGATCTCCTCCCCGAGCCTCCCGAACCGGCTCTGCACAGGCCTCCACCCATACCCAGGGCCTTGCCAGCAGGGCACTGATAGAAGAAGCCCTGGGGTTTGTGGAGGCTCCAGGGCTGGTGTGACAAGTCTGGTCACAAAGGCTGCGGGCACACACCAGGCTGGGACATGGTTACAGGCAGGGTCAGGAACTGTGGCAGGCCTAGTTTCCTATCAATGGGGTGGGGAAAGCTGTTGATTTAAAACTTCTCGTTTGGAGGAAGTGTAGGCTGACACATAACGGTGAGAAGTAACACAGAAGCCCTTCACCCTTCACCCAACTTCCCCATGGCGAAGAGCTTCTCAAACTAGGCTGGCAGGACTTGGGAAGTCGAACTCATCTCTGCCCCCACAGGGTCCTGCACAGCACCATTTATAGCCACACTCACATCCCTCCTGCCAAAACCCCCTTATTTTGGGGGGAATTGGGCTACACCTGGAAGTGCTTGGGGACTCGCCCAGCAGTGCTTACTGGTGATTGATCCGGGGCCTCTAGCGTCCCCTTCCTCACACTGGGTCACCACTGATCTGTTCTCTATTCCTAGCGTTTTTGCTACTTCAAGAGACTATATGAACAGGATCTTAGATGAGGTGGGATTCTTGAGACTGGCTTTCTATACCAAACTGGAGTGCACCCAGTTCACTGCATGGACCCACAGGTTGCTTCTCTGGGCAGAGGCCACACTCGGTGGTGCTCAGAACTCAATCCTGGCTCTGTGCTCAGGATCACTCTTGGCAGTGCTTGGGAGAACATATGTGGTGCCAGGGATCAAACACAGGTCGGCTGCGTGCAAGGAAAGTGCCCTTCCCGTTGTGCTCTCTCTCCGGCCCCAGTTTGCGCCTTTTCATCCGAGTTGTCTATCTCCCAAAAACTGCTTAGCATTTACATGCTGAAGGACACCTGACTCGTTTCCAATCTCTGTCTATAACCAATAAAGCCACCATAAATATGTGCAGAGTGAAGTTTTAATTTTTTTTTGTCTTTTTATGATACAAGGAGGGGAATACCAAGCAATGCTCAGCGGGCCTCTTGGCAACTCTTGCCCAATTTGACCAGCAGCTCAATGTTTGGGCCTGAAGATGTGGTGCTGCTCAGGTCTGTGGCTTCAGGAATTGCCCTGGCAGTGCAAGTCTCCAGGGCTGAACCCAGAAATGCTCTAGGAGCCAGATAGGATGAAGCCAGGGTTGGACACGTGCTGGACACGTGTGCTCACCACTGTCCTATCTCCAGACTCCAAGGTTTTCATTTCCTTTTTTATTTCCTTTTTGGGCCACACCCAGTGGTGCTCAGTCAGGGTCGACTTCTGGCTCTGCACTCAGCGATCACTCCTGGCAAGCTCGGGGGACCATATGGGATGCTGGGGATAGAACCCGGGTCAGCCGTGTGCAAGACCTGTCCACTATACTATCACTCCAGCCCCACGTTTTGCTCCAAATATTTCTAGTTTATTGAAGCAGGAGCTCAGACTGATGATATGAGTTTCTTTTCTTCTTTAATGGCTACTTTCAGTGCCATAAATTTTCCTCTTGGCACACCTTCTAGCTAGGTGTCAATTTTTTTTTAATAGATATTTTGACTTTTCATTTCCATTCAGTTCAAGTTGTTAAATTTTGTTTTGGTCTCCCAAGTGCCTGGGAGTGATCGGCCCACTTCTAGGGAGACTTGGCCAACTGGACAGGTTGGTTACAAGGAACTGAGAGCATGCAGAGCTGCTTGGGTTCGGCCAACCTGGGGACCACCAGGGCTACCCCAGCAGTGCCCAAGAGGACTCTAAGGCTATACCTAGCAGTGCTTGGGGGCCCTGGGGCTACGCCTGGGGGCCCTGCTGTGCTGAAGATTAAATGGAGTCCGTAGCCCTGGGTCTGTCTGGCCCGCAGGTGAGCCTGAAGTGCGGGTCAGGGCTGAAGAGAAGGTTCCACAGGCTGAACATGCTTTGTGTGCTGTAAATCTGGGCTCCATCCTGGGCACTGGATGGCCCCCAAAGCACCATCAGGAGGGGCTCTGGAGCAAAGAGGAAGGAATGACCCCACATTGCTAGGTGTAGCGCCACCCCACAGACCCCCAAACAAGTCTGCTTCTGGGGCAAGAGAGATGAACATAGCCAGTAGGACTCTTGTCTTGCATGCAGCTGACCCAGGCTGGCACTCTGGAATGACTCCGGGTGGTGCCTGCGAGATCATATGGGATGCCGGGGATCGAAGTGGGCCAGCTGCGTGCAAGGCAAACGCCCTCCCCACTGTACTGTTGTTCCAGCCTCCACGAGTCTTTTCTTTAGTTTTCAAGTGTTTGGGGATTTTCCTGTTACCTTTTTGCTGGTGAATTCTAGTTTGAGTTTGTTTTGGTGGACATATTTGTATGACAATTTTTCTCTAGGATTTTCTAATTTTTATTTAAAAAGAAAAAAACAAACCCAAAACCCAAACTGCCTTTCTGCTTCCCTTCCCTGTTGTCGCAGTAACCAGGGGCCGCACCTGCCCGTGGTGTTCACACGTCTGGCTGCGGCGCCCACTGGGCTCACACACAACAGGGCGCAGGGTGCCAGCGGGCACCGTCAGCAGTGCTGCCAGGATCAAGCTTGTTGTAATGGGTGGCACCAGGGATCGTGTTCCAGGTTTCAGAGGCAGGAGAGGGGGGATGGGCTCAGGGACCGGCCCTGCATCCTGCCAATCTGGGGTGACTCCCCAGCACCACCACAGTCCCCAGAGCCCCACCTGGGGTCAGCCTTGTGGACACCCCGTCCCTCTGAAAACCCCCTCGTCCAGTACCGAAGGACTCTCATGTTTCTCTCTGCCCACTTCCCATTTCACTTTCGACATCCAACCAGACACTTTCGGTGAGTGTCCGCGGCAGTTCTCTGTCATGACATTCTGGGTGGAAACTTGTCTCTTCTCTTCTATGTCTAAGCCCATGTATGTCCCCTTGGTGAGTGACATGGCCAGCAGAAGCCCCTTTGCCAGGATCTTTCCTTCTCATTCCCTCTCTGACATGTGGCCTGCCAGCAAGTCCACTCAGTTTGCCTCCCAAGTTACGCCTTGAATTCTCTCACTGCCTCCTCCTCCTCCGTGACCTCCCACCAGCCTCGACCCCCGATCCCCACAGCTCTCCTGCTCCTCTCCACAGGCACGTCGCACACTTGCTCTTCCTCAGAGTAGCCCGGGTCTTTTCCGCTCCGAAAGGCCACCCACCTTCCTTTAGGCCGCAGCACAACTGGCCACACCCCAGCTGTAGCTTCCCCAAGCTGTTTACTGAGATCCAGCCTGCCAGGCCCAGCTCCCATGCAGATCCCGGTGTGCTTAGAACCTACTTCTGGTTCTGGACTCATGCAAGGCCGGGATTGAACAGGGGTCAGCATAGTGCCACATGCAAGGCACCTTACCTCCTGCATTATGTCTCAAGCCCCCTGTGGGCATTCTTTTTCATTTACTTTTTTGTTTCGGTTTTGGGGTCACAGTCAGCAGTGCTCAAGGCTTACTCCTGACTCTGTGGGACTTGGGGGTACCATATGGGGTGTCACGGATTGAACCCGGGTTGGCTGTGTGCAAGGTAAGTGCCCTATGTGCTGCACCATCTCTCCAGCCCTCCTTGGGCACTCTTTCACCCAGCCCTCTCCTAATGCCTTTTACTGCACTTACCATGATGTGGGGCTGGAGCGATAGCACAGTGGGTAGGGCGTTTGCCTTGCATGTGGCCAACATGGGTTCGATTCTTCCGTCCCTTTCAGAGAGCCCAGCAAGCTACTGAGAGTAAGCCGCCCACACGGCATATTCAATATGACAAAAACAGTAACAAGTCTCACAATGGAGACATTACTGGTGCCCACTCAAGCAGATAGATGAACAACGGGAAGACAGTGCTACAGTGCTACCATGATGTGCAATTACTCTACTGATTTGTTTGGTGGTCAAGAGAGGTATCTCCTTCTAGTCAACACCGTGGGGTTTAAACCCTGTCATTTTTTGTCCCCACTGAATCTCTAGGACTGGGAATCAGGGCAGACGCTTAATAACCAGCTGCTGACTGAATGGATGGAGGGACGGAGGGCTGCAGGCCGAAGGCCGAGGCTGCCGCTCTGTGGCCACACTGAGAACTGCAGCTTCTCCACAGGACCCCAGACAAAGGGCCCTCCCCCGCCTCCCCACCCACCCAGGAGCATGGCTGGATCCACACAGAATCTGTCCCTCCAGGTGGGGGTAGACACCCCTCCAGGGAGCTTGCTTCATAAGCTGAGGTGCCAAAACCACTCAGGTTGGGTTGTGGGCCATCAGGGAGACCACCACTCCCTGGGGTTCAAGACTTAGGCCTCAGGGGCTGGGTGCAGGGTCAGGGCAGGGGGACAGGTGTGGGGAGAAGTCTAGGAAGGCAGAGGTCCCGCGGGGTCCTAAGCTTAACCCTTCTCTGGAGAGCTGGGAGTCTAGCAGGGGCCCCACAAACAGCAATGTTGGTGCCAGAAAGGGATACCCACTTCCCACGGACTGGCCCCCAGGGTGAGGGGGATCAGTCAGGCTTCGCCTTGCCCGAGTCTCATGTCTAGTTTGGGGGCCCAGGACCCACGTACACAAAGCCCATAGGACAACACAGAGGCACCTTCCTGAAGGGTTCCCTTTGCACAATGAAATGAATTTTAAACATCTTCACACTGGAATACACCCAGGTACTGTGGTGAGATTTTTTGCTTGTTTGTTTTGGTGGGGTGGGGGCATACCCAGCAGTGCTCAGGGCTTATTCTTGGCTGTGTTCAGAGATCACTTCTGGCGGTGCTCAGGAGACCGACCCTATGGGGTGCTACGGATTGGACCAGGGGCTGCAAGCACCCTACCTGGTGTACTATCGCTCCGGCCCCTACATCAAGGTATTGTGTAAGCAACACTGGGCATTTTAAAAATCACATGATGTAGGGCCAGAGCAGTAGAGTACAGGAGGTAGAGTGTCTGCCGTGCACGTGGCTGACCTGGATTCCATCCCCAGCATCCCATAGGATCCTTTGAGCACTGTCAGGAGTAGTTCCTGAGTGTAGAGCCGGGAATCATCCCTCAGCCTTGCAGGGTGCCCAAAATAAACAAGACAAAAAGCAAAAAAGCAACAAAACAGAACAAAACAAATGCATGATGAAAAATTCTCCAGTGATTTTGGACTCTCAATGGCCCTGCTGTCCACCCCTTAGCTATGCTAGACAAGGGGCATGATTCAAAGGAGTTTCTGCCTGAGGACAAGGTGGGGTGAGCACAGCCCCCACACGAGGGTTAAAGCTTTAGGGAGCAGGAGGCAGGGTGACCTTCTGCGCCACCCCCACGAACTTGCCCTTGGAGAGGCCCCCTCCTGCCTGCCACCTCCCCACGCCCTGGCCCTGCGAAGGGGCTGCCTCACCTCCTGCTTCAGCGAGGCCACGTAGGTCCACACATTGGTGGCAGGGTCATAGCACTCCACAGCGCTGAGGTCGTTGTGGTAGTCGCGGCCGGCCACGGCGTAGATGCGTCCGCCTACCACGCACACGCACAGATCGGCGTGCTCCTGCTGCAGGGACTGGATCTGGAACCAGCGGTTGTGCCTCGGGTCATACCTTTGGGGGACAGGAGGAGACAGCACGTCGCTAACAGGTGAGATCCCGCCGGGGCCCCGTGCTCCTGCTCCATCCAACCCCCACATACCCACCCAGCTGCCAGATGCACACAGGCAGGGTGTGGGGGAGCCCAGTGGACCCTGGTCAGCGTGCACCCCCCACCCGGCTTTCAGGCCACGTCACGCCCTCCTGCAGGGACAGTCTGCTTTGTCTCGGCCCACCCTGCACCCATCCCTTCAGCCTCCTGGCCTCACTAGCGGGGCTGTCTATCCACTCAAGGTCCCCCTCCCGGCACGCACTGGGCTGTGGGGGTCCCAGAGAGGAGCAGCGAGGGGCCAGCAGCTGTCCTGGCGCCAGGGCCCCCTTCCCGCCTGTCACAGCAGCTGTCCGTAGGCCGCAGTTCCTCTTCCCTTTCCAGGTGGCTCATGCTCAGCCCGGCTGCTGATTTCCAACTCGGCCACCAAATGCCTGCGAAGCCCCCTCAGTTGCCTGGTCCTGAGCGGAGCTCCTGGCCCCTCTGTCCCCGTGCCATCCTACCTGGCCAAGCCCCTGCACACACACCAAAGTCCCCATGCCTCCAGCCAGCACCTACACCCCTGTCCCAGTAATTCATCCTGGTCCAGGGCTCAGCACCCTGGCCAGGGCCTCCCTGCCCTCTTTCTCCCCAGGCCCCAAGCCTGGTGCCCTGGTGGGACCACATGGAGGGAACTGACAAGCCAGGGATGGACAACCACAGAGCCCCCGGGGCCAAGTCCTTAAAAGCCTCAAAGCCCATTGTCTCCCCCCCATCTCCCCTCCTGTCCCGGCCTTTCCCCAGGCACTCACCAGGGCACCCCATCTGAGCTCCTGCTTCTGCAACCTCTCATTATTATTATTATTATAATTGTGTTTGTGCCACACCTGGCACTGCTCAGAGCTTACTCCTGGCTCAGTACTCAGGGATCACTCCTGGCAGGCTCGGGGTCCATACAGGGTGCTGGGGGTTGAACCCGGGTTGGGCTGAGTGCAAACGCCCTGGCACACCGAATGGCTCCAGCCCCATCTCTTTGACTATTATTACATTCTGGTTTTCTGGGCCATGCCGGGCTGTGCTTAGGGGCTACTCCCAGTGGGAAGCTCAGGGTTGCTCCCAGTAATGTAGATGCGCCCTCGTGTGGGTGTGTGTGTGTGTGTGTGTGTGTGTGTGTGTGTGTAGAGGGAAATAGGCCCAACCCCTACATGCAAAGCATCTCCCTCATCCTCTAGTCTCTTTAATACCTGTTTGGGTTTTTATTTTTTATTTTTTGGGGGTTTGTTTCGAGGTCACATCCAACAGTGCTCAGGACTTATTTCTGGTTCTGTCCTCAGGGATCACTCCTGGTGGGGCCTGGGGGGCCAAATGGGATGCTGAGGGTCAAACGGAAGTTGGCAGCCTGCAAGGCTTTACTCTGACTCCCTCTCTGGTCCTGGGGTACCTCCACCCCACAGCCTGTGAGCAGTTGAGGAAAGCCTTTTCCAGGTCAGCACTTGTACTCCTTTACCAAAAGACCAGCCCCGGACACCACTAGCAGACTTGGGCTGCGCTGGGAGGAGGGAACAGAGCTCTCTGTGGCCTGTACTGCTGCAAGGCTGATGGGCGGAGAGCGTAAGTCCCGTCCTTCACCTGCTCAGATGCTCCCAAGCCGCTTCCTCCTCCAGCACCATCTGGCCAGTCCCTGGTGCCAGCTGAGATTAGAGGACACAGATGCCTCATGGTGGGGCCCTCAGGAGGGGCACGTCCCGGTGGATCCTCCCGATCTGGAGTCCACTCGGCGTGCCTCAGCCCCTCTCAGGGTGCGTGCAGACATCCCTTGTGCTCTTACATGTGCTTCGGTTCCTGTGCTGTGCACTGGGGTGTTCTCCCCCACCGAGAAGAGCGGCCACCAGGAACCCTAAAGGCCTGTGTGTGCACATGGGGTCTCTGCTAACCTGAAGGTGTGGGGCCTAAAAGCAGGTTCCTCAGCAGCCATGACAGCCGATAGCTAACATTAAGTCTCAACTAGGCCTTAATTTCTGTTTCCCCAAATCAGGACTTGCAGTTTCTGGTAAACTCCAGTTGAATAATTCGCCAAGATAAGGAATAGGGCAGTTGCGTCTGGCCGGTCATGAAGGGTGACTGTACCCTCCTTAGAAACTGTTGCTAACCATTGCCTACTGGCTGACCACCATTGTAATAGAGCCAATGCTAAAGATAGATCAGTATACAAACCACTTCGTGATTGAACCCTATATAAACTGCTTATGATTTGGAGTCGGGGTCCTTGTCAAGGCGCCACTGCGCTGGATGAGACTTGGACCCCAGCTCGGGCTAGTAATCAAGTTCCTTTGCTTGTGCATTATCGTGTGTGGACCTAGGCCTCCCCGCAATTGGGGATCTGAAACTTGGGCGCAACATCTGGTGCGCTGGCCGGGAATCCCCAGTGGTTGAGATCCCTCCACATTGGACATGGGAACCTTATCCAAGTTCTGCCAGTTTCAGAAAGCTGGACTGAGTGGCCACATTTTGCCGGTTTCGGAAAACCAGAGTTTTGCCAGTTTTGGAAAACTGGACTCTTTGGAGAAGTCTGAGGCCCAGTTTGTTTGGGGGCTGTTTTGCGGTGCCGGGTCTCACACGAGCGAGGCATGCACTCTGGTCCGAGGATCACTTCTGAACTCCCCGGCCTTCAGACGGTCCCTGGCTTGGGGCAGGTCCTGCCCTGGCTGCTGACTGGGTTAAACCACGGTGACCGCGTGAGAAGCAGGGACCATGTGATGCGGTGCAGGGGATTAAGAGGAAGTCAGAGTATGACGCTGTTTCCGGGGGAAACTGACTGCAGAGAAGACAGTACCTAGTACTCCCCGTCAGCATAAGCACTACAGGGGAGAGAGAAGGAGAGGGGACGAGAAGGAGAGGGGCCAGGAACCAGCTCAGAGGGCGGAGAGTCAGCGTGGCAAACCCAAGACCCAGAGTTTGATCCCTGCCACCACACGGACAGACCTCCAAGGACTGCCTGGTGTAGCTGTTGGTTGGTCCCCGAGCACTGCCTGGTAAGCCCGAGCACCGAGAATGGGCTTGCTGACTCGCACGGCTGAGTGCTGGAAACTGTCAGGCCTGGCACTGCCAGACAGAGATCCATCAGAGTGGCCGGGGTACCCCTGGCACCACCAAGAGCAAAGGAAGGTGAGAGTATCACCTGCCAGGCAGTAGGGCTGAGGTTGGCAGAGCTCTCTTCTAATGAGACCTGAGTGACAGCCAGGGGACGTCCAGCTGTGCAGGGCAGGCCAGGTGGAGGGTCCAATCAGGGAGGTCCCATCACAGGTCAGGAGGTGCTGGCCCCCGCCTCTGCTGTACTTGGTGCTTATTCTCATACATTTCTCTTCCCCTTGGGGCAGTGGGTAGGGTGTCTGCCTTGCATGCAGCTCACCGGGGTTCTATCCCCAGCACCACATGGCATCCCCAAATACCATCTGGAGTAATTCCTGAGCAGAGAGCTAGGAGTAACCCCTGAAGACACCATTGCCAAGAATGGTGTCCCCACCGGGAAAAAAAAATTCTTTTTTTGTATATAAAGTTTCAGTTACTTTTATGAAGATTTTGCATTATTCTATCATAAACTCAGAAGTGAAGTTGAGAATTGATACAAAAAATGTTCTGAGGACAGATCAACCACCAGGAGTGATCCCTGAGCACAGAACTAGGAGTAAGCTGTGAAAATCACTGGGTACGGCCAAAATAACAAAACAAAGAAGAATAAGTCCAGAGCACAGCAAGGTGTGGCCAATACCCCCCAAAAAAGTTATGAGGGCCTTAGTAAATTTATTTTACTATGAGAATATTTAACTATTTTCTTTCTGTTTTTTTGATTTGGGGCCTAGCCTAACCTGGTGACGGTCAGGGTTTACTCCTGACTGCATCCAGGAGTTATTCCTGACGGTGCTTCGAAGGACCATACGGGACATCTGGGATGGAACCCAAGTTGACAGCGTGGAAGGCAAGTGCTGTGTCCGCTGTACTACTCACTTTGGCCCCAGAACATTGAAATATTTTTATAATTTTTGGGCTATTTAAATATTCATATTATTTAAATATATTTATACATTACATCATGTTATTTAAATGCATAAATATTTATATATTTATAACAATATAAGTATTTTTATAATTTGTTTTTGGACCACAACCAGTGATGCTCAGGGGTTACTCCTGAGTCTGTGCCTATGAATTACTCCTGGTGGGCTCAGGGGACCATATGGAATTTTGGGGATCAAACTTGGGTTGGGCATATGCAAGACAAATGCCCTACCTGCTGGACTTTTGCTCAAGACCCCTGTTTTTATTGAATGTTGAAATGTTCTTTTATAAATATATATATTGGGACTGGAGAGATAGCACAGCAGGTAGGGCATTTGCCTCGCACGCGGCCAACCCAGGTTCGATTCCCAGCATCCCATATGGTCCCCTGAGCACCGCCAGGAGTAACTCCTGAGGGCAGAGCCAGGAGTAACCCCTGTGCATCGACGGGTGTGAATCAAAAAGAAAAAAAAAAGATATATATATATTTCCATAATTTACAGTTCTATGATTATGTTCCCATGATTGATATTATTAGTGTTTCAAGTTCATTATTGTTAAAGCCATTTTTCTTGTGTTTTTTTTATTTGTTTTTGTGAAGCCAAGTTTTTTTTTTTTTGCTTTTTGGGTCCACCCGGCGATGCACAGGGGTCACTCCTGGCTCTGCACTCAGGAATCATCCCTGGCAGTGCTCAGGGGACCATATGGGATGTTGGGAATCGAATCCGGGTCGGCCGTGTGCAAGGCAAACGCCCTATTTGCTGTGCTATTGCTCCAGCCCCAAAGCAATTTGTATTGAAACTTATTTAGAAAGATATGAGGGGAGGGGAAGGAGACTGGGAAATACATGTTCAAGAGAGAACACGGGCTCCTCTAGAGTGGAAACAGGCCAGCAAGGAAACATCGAGACAAGCAAGCGAGATAGATGCATGTTTAAGGGCTAACACAGGCTTGAAGAACAAGCCTTGTTATTAAAACCTTAGTATTGTTTTTAATTTTCTGGAGCCACAGCTGTGTTTGAGAGCTATTCCCAACTCCTCTCCTTGCTCAGAGATCACCCCCAGTAGTAATCCCTGGAGTTTGGGGGACCATGTGATGCTGCATACAAATAACAACTCAGCCTTTGTACGCTCTTTCTCTGATGTTAAAACATTTTGTTTGCTTTTTCCTGGGACACACAGTGGCACTCAAGGGTTACTCCTGGCTCTGCACTCAGGGATCACTCCTGGTGGGGCTTGGGGCCCGTATGTGGTGTCAGGGATTGAATCCAGGTTGGCTGTGTGCAAGACAGGACCTTTCCTGCTGTCTGTCTCTCCAGCTCCTGAAAAATTCTTTGAAATATTAACAATCACCAAAAGGTCTAGGGAAAAGACTTATTATTCAAAGTCAGTTCAGGGTACAAGTCAATACTCAGTAGCCTGTGTACAGCTTTACTAGAAAATGGCCCAAAAGCTACGTGGGTGGGTTATGACTCTTGCCTTGCATACGGCTGACTCTGGTTCAATCCTCCGCACCCCATATGGTCCCCTGAGCACAGAGCCAGGATAAGTTCTGAGCACCACCGGGTATGGCCCAACACCCTGCCCACCAGGGGAAAAAAAGGGCAATGTGGGTGATACAGATGAAATCAGAAAAGGAGGAGGAGAGAAAGACGGGGGGGGGGGGGGGGGCGGGGAGGGGGGGAGAGAGAGAGAGCGAGAGAGAGAGAAACACTGGCATACTGGAGATAAATACAATTTGCTCTAGACAGAGAGCTTTTTGTATGTGGTTTCTGCCCTGACACTTCAACACATGCCCTTATAATTCCCTAACCGATCGAGACGGAAACCCTACCTGAACTGCTACCACTTCTTGTTTAAATGGCCAGAGGTCAGAGAGCTCCAGGGGGGAGCGCATGAGCTGCACATACCGGCAGGGTCCTAGGGAGGATCCCTGGAGGCAAAAAAATTAAACAAAAAAACCCTTTTTTTTAATCTTGTTTTTTTACATTTTGAGACTGTTGAGCCAGAAGAGCAGCAAGGAGAGGAAGAAAGGAGCACTGACGGCGAGAGCTTGTTTTGCTTTGGGGCCATACGAGGTGGTGCTCAGGGCTCTACCCAGGGGTCTCTCCAGGTGCGCTTGAGCCATAGTCCAGGGGTACAGCTCTTGGCTTGCTCTTTGGCTGACCTGAGCACCTTCACCCAAAAACTAAAATAAGAAAGAGACTCACTCTGTCGAGGACAGACCCCTGGCGTCCCCTCGGTGTCTGCCATCGCAGGTCACACCCAGCCCCCCAACCGCAGGGACCCCTGACTGGAGTGTGAGAAGTCATCACTGGTGATGAGGACTGAGTCCATCTTGGGCCACCCAGCGGATGTCCACAAAAGGGAAACTCTGGGGCAGTCCAGAGAGGAACCGACACGGCCCTCAGGGCGTGACCAGCTGGAAGCAAGAAGCAGCGACAGCTGTTGCCCAGGGCTGGCCTCTGTGTGGGACAACTGCCCTGGAGGTCTGGCCTTGCTCTCCAAGAAGGAAAATAAACCCCAGGAAACAGGATTGGGACTTGGCTGGAGGGAAGCCGGGGCTTCCACATCCAGCGGGACAGCCTTGGGTGACGGGGACAATGACAGCATTGCTTCCTCCTTCCTGAACCCTCTCCAGCCTCCTGAGTAATCACACCTGCTGCTGAGCCTCAGTTTTCATTCATTTAAAGAAGGTGCTTTGGAGCCTGCCTCAAGTGCAGGGGGAGAAGGCAGCTGGGATAGATAAGGGACCATTATGACAAAGACAGCTGTAAATGATCGCTCTGGAGAGGAACTGTGTGCTGAAGGTAGGTAAAGGAACAAACACGAGGGTCTTTCAGTACCTTTGTTGCAGACCACAGAGCCCAAAAAGAAAGTGTGGGGGGGGGGCGGGGAGAGAAAGAGAGGGAGAGAAGGAAAATGCCTGCCACAGTCGCTGAGGCAGGCTGGAGGGGGGTTGCCAGGAGGGAAACTGGGGTCGCAGGTGGTGGGAAATGGACACTGGTGGAGGGATGGGTGTCGGATCGTTGTATGACTGAAACCTGATCATGATCAGCTTTGTAACTGTGCGTATCTCACAGTGACTCGATTTTTAAAAATGAAAAGTTAATTAAAAATAAATAAAATAAAAAGTAAAACAGAACAGATTAAAAACTAAGTAAGAAAAATACATAAGGGGCTTTGGGGCTGGAGCAAAAATACAGCGGGTAGGGCACTTGACTTGTATGCAGTGACCCGGATTTGATCCTCAGCACCCCATATGGTCCCCTGAGCTTGCCAGGAATGATTCCTGAGTGCAGAACCAGGAATAAGCCCTGAGCAACACCAGATGTGGCCCGCGCCCCTCTCCCCCCAAATAAATAAAAGAAGCTTTGTTTCCTCCTCCTCAATCTTGGTCACCAGACCTGCTTCCGGGGGTTATGGCCAAACCAGAGCCCCCCGCACCCCCCCACCCCAGGAAACAAACAGCACACAGGAATGTGATTTCCCACTTGTAGCAAAATCTCCAGAAACCAAACCAAGGTCCTGTGCAAAGGACCTGGAAACCGCATAGTGTTGCCTTCTTCGGCCCAAATACCTGAACTTCTGCAACGGCAGCCCCACAGACCAACAGAGCCAGCAGCAGCCCAGAGCCTGCAATAGTCCCTGACGCCCTCATACCTCCTCTGGGGACCTCCCTGTACGTGGATAATGACCAGACCAGGCTGGGGGTGGGGCCTCCGGCCTTTCCTGCTTCTCGGGGCCCAGACCTGTGTGCTCCAGAAAACAGAGGCCCCAGGATGCCACCCTTGCCGCGGCATGTGGGGGAGGCAGCAAGAGTGGAGATGTGTGGGCTTCCAGAGGGCGAGACAGACAGACAGACAGAAGAGGGTCCTTCCCGCCAACCCCCCTTCCTTCCTTTGAAATTCTCTCTCCTGAGGCAGTCAAGTGCAGGTCCAAACTGGGCTTAGTGGGACAGTAGTGTGACAATTGTCAAGCCGGGAAATTTGGAGGGGGAGGGGAGAAGGGTGACGTCCGGCAAAGCTCAGGGGTCACTCCTGTCTCTGCACTCAGGGATCGCTCATGGCGTTGCTTGGGGGACCATGTGGGTTTTGCTTGCAAGGCAAGTGCCCTACCCACTGTACTATGTCTCTGGCCCCCTGCCCGACCCACTGTACTGCCTCTCCGGCCCCCTGCCCGCGAATTTCCGAAGCGGCGAAGGGAACCAGAGAGATCATTTCAGGCCCCCTTTTCACTTGGCATCCCTGCCCATATGTCTCCTCTGGGTGAACATGGCTAAGAATCCACAGCAATAGGGGCACCCAGACCCGCCCCAGGGACGATCCAGATCAGCCCTGCCCAGGGGGTGCGGGTATGTCCTCGTAGGACTCAGCTCCAGCCCAGCCCGCTGAGCCCGGGGAACCCCCATCTCGGGGCTACGCCCGGACGGCTGCAGTCTCTTCCTACCTCCAACATCGGGACTCGGCTCGGAAGCCCTGGACGTTGTTGTCCCCCCCGATCAGATACACAAAGTTGTTGAGCACCGCGATGCCCTGGTTGGACATGCGGGGGGCGAGGGAGGCCGTGAAGTGCTTCCACTCTCCCAGCCGGGGGTTCAGGTACTTGGCCTGGTCGCTGAGCACCGTGGACGGGGTGGAGTGGATGCCGCCGAAGCCCACCACGCACTGGAAGTCCGAGCGCAGCTCCGTGTGCGGGCCCTGCAGGCTGGGCTGCAGGCTCTCGTTCTGGTGGTACAGGAGGGCGCTGGCCACTGTGTCCCGCAGCGGGCTAGGCTCCAGCTTGTCGTGCAGCCGCTGCAGTGCCTCGGCCTCCATCAGTGGGAAGCGCACTGTCTCTAGGAGCTTCGGGGCCTCGTGCAGGGGCAGCTGGTCAGCCTGCACCTGCTCCAGGGAGTAGTGGTAGCGCAGGGCGCCCTCGTACACCTCCGCCTCGCAGGACACCTCCAGGCGGTTGCTGCTGAGGAGCGCGTAGACCTTCTCCAGGGGCAGCTGGCGGTACTTGTCAGTCTGAGAGAAGGCCACAAAGTTCTTGAGGATGTAGGTGTCCAGCTGCTCCGTCAGGCGGCTCAGGTCGAACAGATCTGCCAGCCGGTACACGTCCAGGATGTTCTCCTCGTCCACCCAGGACATGAGGAAGTCGCAGCAGAAATGGATGATCTCTGGGATCTGTGAGGAGAAGGCAGGCTGTTGGGACCTGGGCTGGCGAGGGCGTCAGAAGCAGGAGGCAGGGACGGCGGCCCGGCCCTCACCTCTGCGACCTCTGTGTATGGCCACATACCCTCCGCTTTTTCGTCGCGCTGGTCTGGTGGACCCACACTGCCCCAACATGAAAAAGTCACTGGGCCCCTGACGGCTGGCTGGGGAAGGATCTGCAGGACATTTTCTTTTCTTTCCTTTCTTTTCTTTTTTTGCGGGGGGGATATGTGTGTGTGTAGGTGTGGAGGGTTTGTGCCACACCCAGCACTACTCATGGGTTACTCCTGACTCTGCACTTAGGGATGACTCCTGGTGGGGCTTAGGGGACCATGTGGGATGCCTGGAAACAAATCTGGGTAGGCTGTGTGCAAGGCAAATGCCCTACCTGCTGTCCTATTGCTCCAGCCCTGGATTTGTGATAAATTTTCAATCTCTGTATCTCAGTTTCCTTATCCATAAAAAAGGAATAAAGAGGGAAAAAGAACCATGGAAAATGGGACTATGTACGGAAAATTCCAAGTCGAGAGCAGAGCCTGGATATATGTGAGTCATTAGCCAGACTGAAAGCCGGGGTCTCACGAGAAACAGCCAGCATTTGCATCCCATTCACACTCCCCCCCACTGCCCGGCTGGTCCCCAGGGCACCACCCCAAGCCCCACTGCTGCCTGAGGCCTGGACAAAGCCGTCCTCGCTCTCGAGTAGATCCTGAACCACCCCCACGAGGCCCACTGCAGAGTGGCCCACACACTCACCAGGCTTCCTAGAAAGCTGATCCGAAACTCTGCCTGGGTCCTGGGTGCCAGGAAGTGCAGAGAGGGACTTGGGGGCTGCCCGGAGGTGCAGAACACCTGGCAGTGCTCAGGGCTGACTCCTGGCCCTGCACTCCGGAACCACTCCTGGTGGTGCCCAGGGGACATATGGGGTGCCGGGGATCGAATTCGTGTTGTCAGTGTGGAAGGCAAGTGCCCTACCCGCTGCGCTATCACACCAGCCCCAGTGCTGCGGAATTCTTCAGGGAAAAGGGTGTAGAATCACCGTGAAATTCAGCATTCCTTCCTTATCCCAGGTTGTCCGTGGACAGGGCAAGTGCCTTAGCCCCTGAACTCTCTCCAACTCCGTGCTTCAGGACGTTTCTAGTGCTTGCCGGGTGATGTGCTACAGTCGCCTGGAGACTGTAAAGTGCCTGCTCATGTCTGTCCCACAGGGTCTTCCCCAGGCTTCGTTAGGTCCTAATTAGCTTCACCTGACCATTCATTTTCTCTCTGATATGGGCATTTCTGCTTCGTCTCTTATCCCAAAACACTGCAATTTGGGGGTTGGGAGGGGTAGGAGAGTAGAGCAGCTGAGGTGCTTGCTGTGCACGCGGCTGACCTGGATTCGATCCCCAGCACCCCATATGGTCCCGCTGAGCCCGCCAGAAGTCATCTGTGAGTGCAGAGCCAGGAGTAAGCCCTGAGCATCACCAGGTGTGGCCCAAAGACCAAAAAATAATTAAAAAAAAAAAACCCACTATGAGGGGCTTGAGTGATAACACGGTGGGTAGAGCGTTTGCCTTGCATGTGGCCAACCCGGGTTCGATTCCCAGCATCCCATATGGTCCCTTGAGCACCGCCAGGAGTAATTCCTGAGTGCATGAGCCAGGAATAAACCCTGTGCATCTCCAGATGTGACCCAAAAAGCAAAAAAATAAAAATTAAAAAAAAAAACCCACTATGATGTGTCATAGAGTGGGAGAGCAAAGATCAACCTCTGGGCAGGAGGCAGCCTGCCCTGCCTGGTCTGAGAAAGGACCGTGGAACATATTGTTCCTTCCTGTCCTTGGTGGTCTCAAGGCCCCAACCCCAAGGTGAAACGAGAACGCATTTTCTGCCCATGATCTGGCTGGGTTTCAGACCCTCCAATGTCTTTGGAGACAAGAGATTCTAACCTAGAGCCCAAAGAATATGGAGGGTGGGAGGTGGCTGGTGGGGCAGGGGGATGGGGAACAAACCAGCCCCTCCTCCACCTATTCTAAGAGCAAACAGGATGCAGCGCCTGGTGACCTCGGCCCCACTACACTGTGGACCTTTGCTTTAAAGCAACATTGTTGGAGGATTTGGTGTTGGAAAACAGGAGGCCTGTAGGAGCATGTGGGGGGGGGGGGGGGAGATGTGGGGGTGGAATGGCAACATTGTGTAGCTTCCCAAGCTGAAGGATCAGAGCTGCTCAGGTCCCCTGGGGCCCCCTGATGTTCTGTGGCCCCTCTGGTGGGCCCACAGACACTGGGGAGCTGGACCCCTGCGGCCATTGCAATGGGTGTGGGACAGCTCTGAGGGGGAAGGGAGAAAAACACTGGATCTGGGAGGATGGTAGGATGGAGACAACCAGACAGACAGACGGGCTCAAGGAACACAAGCTGCCCAGGGGGCTGAGGGGATAGGCACAGCACCGGGTGGCCAGGAGACACGACCGGGGTGTGAAACATGGAGAAGAGGCACCCAGACAGCGAGTCCGCAGGTGGCTGGACACTGGAGGAAGCGTGCGGGGGTTATCAAAGCAGTAATGCCGGAGACTCCAGGAGCAAAGACACTCTGACAAAGGGCTAGCGGGATGGCACAAAGGGCAGGGGCACCTCTCACTGCATGCCTGCATGCCTCCCCCCGCCGAACATCACGAGGTGTGCTACAAAAAAGCAAAGAAAAAAAGGAAGACAAGACTGCTCTGGCACAATTTCACTAGCTCATCTGTGGGTATGTGGAGTGCCTTGAGCATAGGCCAGCCACAGTCTAACCCTTGGCTCCACCCCATGTGCACATACACACACCCACACCCACACCCACGCACCCCTTGGGAGGAAGCTCTGACAGAAGGGAGGGAACAAAGGAGGAGCAAAGGCCAGAGTAAGCGGGTCTACGTGAGCGGTTCCTGCAGGGCTCCCGCCTGGGGTGTACTATGCAGCACCGCAGGGCACTCCAGCTGCCCAGTGATGAGTCGGCCTGTCAAACGGGCGAACCTCACCTGAAGTTGGCAGGCAGCGACCAGCGTCTCCTGGACATTGCTCAGGCTGAGCTCGAGCTCCGAGGTGTAGATGAAATGCAGGATTTGGCACATGGCATTGTAGGACACTCCGTGGATCAGGACCTCTTCCTGCTCCATCTCCTTCAGCCCCCCAGCAAACATCCCTCTGCAAAGTGAAGACAAGACAAGGGAATTTTACCAGCTGGGCCCCTGCCCTGGCCAAAGAGAGGGGCAGCATCTGGCCGGGGGATTGATGTGGCAGCCGTGTGCCCACAAGCCCCCAGTCAGTGCAGAGATGGTACCCCAGAGTTCCTGGCCACGGCAGGGTAGCTGTCTGAGAAATCACCCTGTCTCCAGACACCCCACGGGGTTTATGAGAGAAGCAGTGAAATAGGAGGGAACGAGAAATCTTAAAAATTGGACGTATATTTACTGAGTGCTCAGTAAATGCCAGGGGCATTCAAAGAGCGGAAGAACTAGAGAAGCAATGAGACAGCAGTGTTCAGCCGAGAGGGGAAGATGAACGGCAGCAAAAGCATGTGAGGCTGTGGGGGCGCTCGGTCGGAGAAACCGGGCACCTGATGCTGGCCTGTCCCGTGAGAGAGCCATGAGGCTCCAGCTCCAGGAACTGAGACCGGGCCTGCACCGACCAGGTCCTGGGGCCTGGGTGAGCTCAGCCCCTCCCTCCCCCCACCTGCCCCAACAGCAAGGTAGCAGGGAGAGGAGGAAATGAGGGGGAGAGCTGGGGCCAGGTCCTTCGAGCCCCAGGGTAAGGGAAGTCTGCACTGAAGCCCAGTAGGAGATGCAGTCAGGGAATTTCCCAGGAGTTGTGAGCTTTTCGCAGACTGGGGTGTCTATTGGTCAGAGAGGAGGGGCTGAAAGCCTGGCCCCCCAGGGGTGGGTGTGTCTCAAGTGCAGCTGAAACCCCCAGGGCCAGGAGGAAGCACACAAGCAGGTGCGCACAATTGCTGCTAAACCTTGGTGTGCTGGGGGCTGGGCAGTGGTGCAGCTCAGGACGAGGGAGGAAGTGGAAGAGGCAGCAAGAGTCCTTTGGTGGCTCAGAGTTGCTCAGGGCGCTCACAGGAAGGGGATGGCAGTCAGGCAGAGACAGGAGCCCAACCCCCACAGCATGAAAATGACACTATGGCTATTTTTTTTTTCTTTTCCGTTTCTGGGCCACACCTGGCTGTGCACAGGGTTTACTCCTGGCTCCATGCTCAAGGAATACTCCTGATGGAGGTTTTGGGGTGTAAGGTGGGGTTTTGGGGGTGCCGGGATCAAACGTGGATCAGCCATGTGCAAGACAAGGGATTTCCCCACTGTACTATCTCTGCAGTCCCGTATTTTAATATTTTCAACGAGGTAATAGTACAAATGGTGCAAGACTTGAAATATACGAAAGGCTGCTATGACAGTGTCTCTCTCCCTTCTGTCCCTGGCCATCAGCTTCTCTGCCCAACAGTACTCCACACGGTTACGGTCTTCCCGTTGTTCATCGATTTGCTCGAGCAGGCCCAGTAACATCTCCATCATGAGACTTGTTGTTACTGTGTTTGGCATATCGAGTGTTTGGCATATCCGCACACCTCTTTTTTTTTTTTCTCCTCATGCTTTGACTTACACCTCAGAAAGGCTTCCTGACTGGAATCATCCTGTTACTGTAAGGGTGGTCTTCAAGGCTCGCCCTGCTTCTGGGGGGCACAGATTGGGTGTCACTCCTCTGCCAGTGTTTCATCCAACTGGGAGCCCTACACCCATGACACATGGCTATGCGTGTGCTATTCACTGCTGTGAAAGCAACTGGGTTTACCCACATTGATGCTTTGACAGTATTGTTCCCACCTCTCCTCACATAACTGCTCACAGTGAAACGGAAGGAGTAACAGGATTATTCCCTCACCAGCTCTGGAGAGGAAAACCCTCACAGCCAACAGGACCTGTAGGAGCTGTCTCTACCCTCCTTTCTGATTGATCAGGATTATTTCTCATTCCCTAGGAGACTCTTGATCTTGTCAAATCAAATAAATGTATCCATGGGAGATGAGTTATTTATTTTTTTTTAAAAATTCACTTCAAATCTTCTGATTTTATGCTTTTTCCTCTAGGCAGGACTTTTTTCCCCTGAAGGTAAACTTGCTTTCTTTTTTCCTTTTGAGCCACACCTGGCTATGCTCAGGGGCTACTCCTGGCTCTGCACTCAGGAATTACTCCTGGTTGGGTTAGGGGACCATATGGGATGCCAGGAATTGAACCTGGATCAGTCACATGCAAGGTTTGCAAGGCCCTACCTGCTGTACTATTGCTCCAGTCCCTTCCTTCTTTCCTCCTATTGTGTGTGTGTGAGCTATGTCATACTTGGAAAGACTCTCCATCTGAGATTATATTCAAAATTGCTTCCTCCTAGTTTCTGGTTTTTGTTTGTGTGTTTTCCTTTCATGTTGGAAAACATGAATCAGATCCACCTGGCATTTCTTATTGCCCACCTGTGACAGGCCTGCAGGATAAAGATCCTGACAGGGGTATGTGTTCCCAAAAGCCCCCCAGCTCTTCTGGGGACCCTGCTCTGCTCCGCCCCCACCCCACACCCCTCATCCAGGCTTCAGTGGCAGGTTCAATCCGGCGGCTCTGCAGGACACATCAGTAGTGGGTAGGGCAGGCGCCTTCCATTACCTCTGTTCTCAAAACTGTGGCTTTGCTTTGTGAATTTTGGATTTTCAAACCATTTTGGGCAATCCCCTACAAGAAACCTTCCTGGAATTTTTACTGGGAATCCATTAAACCATCAGAGCAGCGAGGGGTAGGGGGCGCTCCCGCCTCTCTACGGATGGCAAGGCTTGACTCTGCACATCAGCTTCTGGGTCTCTGGCAGGCCTAGTGCACGGATCCTAGGATGAGTCTCAGAGGTTTGCCCCACAGGCGGCCCCAGCACGCTTTCCCAGGCCCAGTGGTCCTGACACACTCCTAGCCTGTGTTCTGCATGACCAAAACCTCCTAGCACTGCATGGTTCCCCGAGCACCACTGGGAGCCCCCCACCCCTCACAAGCACAACGCAGGGAGTAGACACTGAGCATCACTGCCTGTGGTCTAAGGCCCCTGCGTCCTCCCAAAAGGATCTGGGAAAGTGTTTGGATCCCATATGGAGAGGGGAGGTACGAGACATTTGGGGGACAATCAGTGACAATTAGGAAATTTGAATATGCACTCACTAGAGGATAAAATTATAGAATGAGCATAAACTATCTTAGCTTTGTAGTTGTATTAAAGATGCTTAGAGGTGGGGCTGGAGCGATAGCACAGCGGGTAGGGCGTTTGCCTTGCACGCAGCCAACCCGGGTTCGATTCCCAGCATCCCATATGGTCCCCCGAGCATTGTCGGGAATAATTCCTGAGTGCAGAGCCAGGAGTAACCCCTGTGCATTGCTGGGTGTGACCCAAAAAGCCAAAAAAAAAACAAAAAGAGCAAAGCATTGTAATCTGTCATATCTTCAACTTCTCTGAAGAGAAAAAGGCAAATGCTAGCTAATGAATCTAGGTGAAAGGCACAGTGCTCATTGCTCATTTTTTAATTCTTTTGTTTTTTGGACCATATCGGCTGTGCTCAGAGATCCCTCTTGGCAGAGCTCGGGGATCATACGCTGGGGATTGAACCTGGGGCGGCTGTATGCAAGGCAAATGCCTTCCCCACTGTGCTCTTGCTCCAGTCTTTGTTTCCATTTTTTAACTTTTCTGTACGATTCACCTGTTTTTTTCTTTCTTGGGGGGGCGGGTTAGGGACACTCTGTGATGGTCAGGAGTCACTCCAGAAAGTGTTTGGAGACACTCTACATGGTGCCAGGGATGAAGTCTAGGGCTCCCTGGCACATAGCATGTGCTCTGAGTCATCTCCTTGGCACTGGGATTCACTTATTTTTTTTCTTTTTGGGTCTAACCCGGTGTTGCTCAGGGGTTACTCCTGACTCTGCACTCAGTAATTACTCCTGGAGGTGCTCAGGAGACCATATGGGATGCTGGGAATCGAATCCGGGTTGGCCGCGTGCAAGGCAAATGCCCTACCCGCTGTGCTATGGCTCCAGCCCCTCACATTTTCTCTTTCTCTGAAACTTTTAACGAACCGGACAATATCAGTAATGATAAAAACCCCAGGGGTGTACATACAGAATGATTGTTTTAGGTGATGAGAAACTCCCTCCTGCTGGCAGCAATCTCCACCCATTTCTGAGCACTCCCCTCGACACACTGGGACTGGCCGGGAAACTGCCCATTCCTTGGGGTCAAGGCCCTTCTCTGTGCAGGGCAGAGAATCCAGAGGAACTGGGGATGCAGCACCTAGGAATGGGCTCAGGACTCGAGTGGAAAGACATCTGGTACTTGAGCCAATGTGTGTCGTGGAGCCCGTCAGAGCTCAACTGCACAGCCACCTTCATGGCTTGGGTCTTGGTGGCGTTCTCCCCACGCAGAGACGCCTCATGCCAGCCTGGCGCCGCTTTCCAGGCCCTGCTGCTGCGTGCGGTAAATGCAGGTCGCAGTCAGCGTTAACACAACCTTCCAGGCACTTCACCCACCACCGCTGCCGCCTCTCCTCCTGGTGCGTCTCAGTTTGTACCAAGTTCTGACTTCTTGGCAATGCCACGTGTATGGATGACCCCGGTTAGATCCCCAGTTCCCCAAGCACCACCAGGATCGATCCTTAGGCACAGAGCCAGGAGTATGCCCTAAGCAATGACTGATGTGGCCCAAAAAACAGATTACAAATGGAGGGAAAGGCTAAAAAAGAAAAATATATAAAAACACATTCATAAAAGCCAGGAGACAGAAACAACCCAAGTGCCCAACCATAAATAAGTGGATTCACACGTGAACAACTGTTCTACCTGCAAAAGTAAATTCTGGGGCTAGAATGATAGTACAGCAAGTAAGGCACTTGCCTTGCATACAGCTGACCCGGGTTCAATCCCCAACATCCCATACGGTCCCCTGAGCACCACCAGGAGTGATCCCTGAGTGCAGAGTCAGAAGTAACCCCTAAGCACTACCAGGTGTGGCCCTCCAAAAAGGAAATTCTAACATATGCTATGACACGGGTGAAACTGGAGAATATATTAAGAGAAAGAAGTCAGTGACAAAAGGACAGATCTATGATTACACAAGAAGCAAGAGGTTCTTGG